GGGGTGAAATCGCTTAATTTTCAGATGTCGCCCTTTCGTACGGCGCTTGCATGTTTTCTTTGAGAGCACCACCCTAGATACTGCCAGTTGTTAATTCGCTGCAACTATACAGGGTGCTTAATTTTAATTCAAACAGATGCATTTTTTAAAAAAAGAGCGGGGGAATAAAGACAAGTGCTGTTTTCATCATGTATTTATGAGGCTCGCTGCACATTAGATGAGGGGATAATCGTCATGGTAAGTTGAATAATTAAGTAAATATGTTAACCTTTTAATTATGGATTTTAAGGGTCATGTTGCAATCGCAGTATTGATGTTAATTACAATTAGAGGCCAGACCAGTTAAAAGAATTTGAGAAAGATGTTAACTGATATCTTCTGACATTTCTTTTTTAGCTAGATTGAAAAATTGTGTGCAAAAGAAGTGCTGCACGCCCTGCCCACATTAATACTTAGAAGAGTGACATTGCCGTTTTAGTCACATCGTCATTTGTGTCATCTGACCAAGGACAACATGTTGAGATAGTGATGACATGAGTGAAACGACAGCATCACTCTTCTAAGCGTCATTGTAGGCAGTGCCTACGGTGCGCCTCCTTCATGCAATTTTTAAATCTGGTAAGAAAATGTGAAAATTTAGTATTTAGTACTCACAAGCCATGGTTTTTCACTAATAATAATTGCAGTCAATACTGCAATTGCAACATGACCCCTTAAACCAATAATTAAAAGCTTAATTAGTGTGTTTTAATTAATTACCTTATCATGACGATTATTTTCTCATCTAATGACTGCCAAGCCTTATACAAATTAAATACCCTATATAGTAATTCCCCAGTACTTACAGAAATAGGTGCAGAACAGAAACTGTGGCCCCAAGTAGAAGGGAGATGATGCATGTATCGCGGGAAAAAAGGGCACTGTAAAGTTTTTTGTATATGCATATTTCTGGGAAAAATAAGAGTGAACTTTCTTTTCCGGATCAAAAGCAAGAGGGTATCCCAAATTGAGAAGAGAAGTAATAGAACTGGAAGACACCAATGTTCACATACAAGTTTCGAGCCAAGCTGCAGAAGAGCATTAATTTACTCATTCATTTGTTTCTTCGGGCCAAGGCCGGCAGGGCAGTAGAGAATAAAAGCATTTCAGCCCAACAAATAATAATAACATTCTGCTTAAAGTACCCAAAATCAGCCACAATGGTTTCGGGGGTATTTTGTACTACTTATTGTCATTCTGCTGTTGGACATAGAAAAAAAAAATAATAGCTGGAAAATACTTGAAAACTTGCAAGACATACAGAAAGTACAAAAGCAAAACTTATAAACGCATATTTCTATCACTGTTACAATAAAGAGTAATTGACTACCAAGAATAAGTTAAGAAATGTTGAGAAGAGTAGACGCTACCTTTGTTGGCAGAGAGGGAATTCATCAAAACCTCCAATGCCATGTTTTTCTTTTTGTTATGAGCGGGCCAGAACATTCTTGACCATGATTTTTGTGTACTGTACTCGATGCATCATATTTTTCTTGCATGATATTTGCATAGGTAATTTTAGTGCCTTATTCTTTCATGTATAATTTTTTTTTTGTGGACGGTGTTCGATACGGTTGATAAAAGAGTCGATTTTTGTGCATTTTGTATTCCCACAAAGACGCCCTCATGGCAACGTAGGTAATGCATGAATTAAATAATGTACCAATCTCTCTTCAGAGTAAAGGTTTTGCACCTTGACATTGCATTTGAGTGTCACCGACTGCTACACCCGCTTGTGACTACTTACGACAAGATCGCACTGCATAGATCTGATCTCGCACAGACTGCAAAACCTTCGGTCTAGTTCAGGACCGTAAGTGTTCAAGCACCATTTGCACAGAGGCACCACCTCGTTTCGCAGCGGAATGCCAAGAGTCGTAATTGAGTCGGTCACGCTTTAATGCCAAAGCCTGAACCAGCCATTAAAGGGGTGGTGTGACGATATTCAGTTGCAATGTTTGTCACTTTAAATGTTTTTTTTTTTTTTTTTTTTCACTTTACACAAGCTTACTGGCACTAGCAGGACCCAAGTATACTCGCACGCAACGCCATTGACCAAGAAACCTCTTCGTTGCGGTGTAATTTCATGAATAAAGAAAGTGAGCGTTTTCTTTCAATCTTTTCGTAAAACTTGATGGCATAGTTTAGAGTTCGCATAGCATAGTTTAGTTTAGTGGCATAGTTTAGAGGTCGCTCATAGATTGAACCCGAGCATTGCGTGAGCACTCGATTTTGGCTCTCGATAATCAATAGCTCGACGAGCATTCGGAGAGTGGCTTGTGCCCAACCGCTTCAATGACGGCAATAGCTGAACTCTAACAACGTCCAGAACTTGGCTCTTGTCTTGTGGTTTACCCCAACCCCAGCGCGTTGTTACGATAAACATTGGAGGCGTAGAATCGGCTCCAGATTACATGGTTGCTTGTACTGGCTGCGAGTTGAGGGGGAAAATGCTGCTTGTTTTTCTTACACATTTTTTTGCGACTACCATTGCACGAGGAGAAAAACTGAAGTGTGTTTTGTGGGTTATGAATGTCGGGGATTTATTCTAAGTGGTATTTATGTTAAGAACAAAAATCATTGTACCGCCCCATTAAGGGGCTCTAAAATGTATTTTGAGATTGTCTTTTTGTGGCACAAACTCAAGCTATGTGCCCTAAGCATCCCGGAAACCTGAAGTTTACAATGACCTGTGGCCTTTTTTTTTTTTTTTCTTTTATAAAAAACATGACTAAGGGTGTCGCAATCTTTGGTTGCATCTTTATGAGCGAGAAAGGACACACATCATTGTCAATTTTGTTTTTTTTGGGGAAGGGGGGGGGGGGGGCGCTTGGGGCAAAGAGACGCGTCGCAACGTTTGGTCACGTTTGAATAAAAGAGAAAGCAAACGCTCGATTGTGATTTTGTGTTTTCTAGAATGCTGGGGGCAGAGGAGCGTGTCGCAATGTTTGGTTCCGTTTTTAACGGAGAAAAAGTCCACGCATGTTTGTCATTTCCGGTTGTCTAGGATGCTTTGGGGAGGGTAGGTTCAGTCTGCGTCGTAAAAGGACGATCTCAAGATCCACTTTTGGGGCCCCTCCAAAAGCCCGCTCACAAACTTGCGAGGGAGCACGCTAGCGCCATGCATGAGATGACCCTGGGACTGTGTTTCACTAGAGTGAAGGTTCTGCGGTATTTGCACGATTAAAGGTATGTACCATCTATAAGAAATGGCTGTCCATAACATTCAAAAGTATTTCAAAAGAAAAAAGAAAAAAAAAAAAAAAAAGAAGGATGAACGAAAAATATAGGACATATACAGACGCTGAAAGTGTTGACGGCTTACCCACAGATGGTACAAGTGTGCGCTCTCGTAAGAGGTTTTAAGACTCATGGTCGTGAGCAGTCACAACTGTGAACCGGCCTTGCAGAATCGTCTTCTGCCAGGCAGAAAACCGGTTCCCAGTTTCCTTCTCTCCATTCTCTCGCGCTCTTCTCCCCTCCCCTCCCCAAAAGGAGCACGATGAGCAACCGGAGAGGAGGAAACTCCCTCGGTTCCTTCTTTCCATTCGGGAAAGAGGGAGACCACCCTCCTCTCTGCGTGGACTAGCTCGGAAACCCGCTCCCGAGGGGAGGGGGGGAGACAAGAGGGGGAGGGGGAATGAAAGAGAGAAACTGGGAACCGGTTTCTCTCTTTCATTTCGGGAGTCAGTTTGCAGATGACACAGTAATTGTATACGCCCACAAAAATTATGAAGTTGCCGTTCGAGAAGTACAAGAAGACATTCACAATATTTTTCAGTGGTACTGTAGAAATCAAATTATCGTAAATACTTCTAAAACTCAAATAATGTGCTTTAGAGATCCCAGAAAAAAACTATTACCTGAATTACCTATTAAAATGCACAATAAAAATTGTAATAACTGTTCATGCCTACCAATTGAGTATGTAAAAAATGTAAAATACCTTGGAATGTATATAGACCAACATCTTAAATGGGACTCACACATAGAGCAAGTTTGCAAAAAATTAAGGACACTGATGGCCTATATGTTTCACATGCAAGATATGGTCCCCCATTCTGTACTGAAAATGATTTATAACTCGTTAGGAAAATCTGTAATTCAATATGGAATAACTGTTTATGGGCACTGTGCCAAATACCTACAAAGAAAAGTTGAAACTCTCCAAAAACAGATATTCAGAAGAATCGATTGCCAAAGCAAAAAGAGAAGCGATTTAATAGATGACATACATAAAAAAAATAGGCGTATTTTATTTTAGTGATCAATTGAAGTATGACATAATCACAAAATTCTTTTTAATCAACAACCACAAAATAGAAATTGTTAAAGAAAGAACATTACGACCAAATAGGAAATATTTAGAGCCATTAATAAAGACAAAGTATGGAGAGTCTACAAGAAAATATTATGTGCCTAAACTTTTTAACGAACTACCTGAGGAGTTGATTGAGTGCAAAAATCCACATGCAATGAAAAAAATGGCAAGAATTTGGATCAATGAACAGAAAAATTAAACAAAGTGTGAATTAATAAAAAGTGCCAATATACGACCGTAACCACTGTACGAATTATATGGATTATTGAAACAGTGCTTTGAGATATATTACTAAATAGCAGTATGTGACTAATAGAGGCCGGTTCCACCGGTTATAACGCACGTGTATATAGGAGCTGCTTCTTTTCTTATGATTTGTTTGGTTTGTTTAAACTCGTAGAAAGAGTTAAAACTGGACAAAATCTGGTTGTTAGCCACCTGCCGCGTCCCACACACAAGCCTTCTTGGCTTACGTGGGCACAGAGCGAAATGTATTCAAAAAAGGAAAATAAATTGTATTGTATTATTATTGTATTGTTTTCCGCTTTGCAGAAGGCAATTTTGTGAGTCGGCCCTTAAGATTCGGAATGCGGCCGCGGCACGGTGGAAACGTGCTAACCTTTTGGCCCGCCCCGTGCAGGTAGCGAGGGGCCATGGCGACGGCGGCGGAGCACTGCCCGCTGTACGGGGACGAGTCGCAGTGCCGCCTGTGGCTGCCGCCCACTCCCCGGCGGCAGGCGGAGGGGCCCCTGGCCCCGCAGGGCATGCGCACGAGCCTGCGCAAGCTGGCCGAGGGCCGCCGTGCACGGAGGCTCACCTTCTTCCGCAACGGTGACCGCTTCGACCGGGGCCTGGCCTACGCCCTCTCGGCCGAGAAGGTGCGCTCCTTCGACGCCCTCCTCGAGGACCTCACCCGCATCATGGTGGAGCTGCCCATGGTGAGTTCGAGGCGGTGACTGGGTACGGCGCGTACTGGAGTGTTCGACAACGCGACCGGGCGGGCTGCCTAGGCGACGGCAGTGGCGAGAGTGGCGTATCGTCGTGAAGGGAAGGGAGTGCAACCGGCGTGACGTCCTCGAGCCAAGATGCGACGCAGCACACTGGTGGCGGCGCACGCTTGGCGTGACGAAGAAGGAATTTGAAATTCGCAGTTGGCGCAACATTACCGCGCCAGAAAGCGACGCAGTGCGCGGGTGGTGGCACGATCCATCATTTTGCTGTTTGCAATTTTATCGTCCCACCCGAGATAGTTGGCGCAACAGTTCATTCCTAGCTGCTGCGTGCTTATAACTTCAGTTGTCCTACGTCCTCTTCCTTGCCAATGTTCTTGCTTCACTCAATCTTTGTATGCGGAGCGATGTATTGTTAAAATTAGAAACCTTGTATAATGTTTGTAATTGTACCACTGAGGTCACTTTTTTAGTATTGCCAGTAGAGACATTAGTTGGAAAAATGTACGGCTCATGATCCGAACGGAGTCGCTCCGCCTCTGGATCCCCAGTGGGAACATCACCCCAGTGGGATCGGCGGATGCTTTCCCGTCATTAACTTTCCCGGTAATCCCCTTCCCGTGGTCCCGTATCTCGAAGCACATGTTTTCGCAGTCACAGCGCTAACAACATGTGTTCAGTGCACGAGCAAAGTTCATCATGATGTGAAAGATGCGTGTTGATAAGCGATGTGCATCAGCGTAGCCCACTTGCCTCTTCATTGGAATATTCGTGAACAGTGTACAAGTTAAGTATCTCTCGATTTCCGGCCTATCCTGTGGAGGTCCGAAAAGGCAGTCGTATTTATGCGGGACATACGAGCAATCTTCGTTATCGCTGCTACTCAAGCCTTGCTGGAAGAGCTGATGGAGCGGCTTTACGACGAACTGTCATCAAGCAGCAGCAGCAGTAAAGCGGGGAACACTTCGCGAGCGGCCATCATGAATTCTTGCGAGATGTTTAACCACCCGGCTAGAATTGCAGTCAAGTGGGCGCGCCAAGAGCTTGCCAGGCTGACCTCCGGTCGAATCTGCCAAAATTGGCGGAGCGACTTTTCTCGGATCCAGATCTATGTCTGGAGTGGGAGCTGATCGAAAACGACGAGTGGAACACGTGCGTTTCGGTCCCGGTCGCCCAGTGAAATAGGCGTGCTCAAGAAAAGTCTATCCCGGCGCGCTCCAAAATGACCAGTGGAATTCGCTATTAGAGTCACACCAGCTAGCTTTGCATCTACCCCCTAATTTGTGAAACATTGAACTCGAGCCCGGGTTCAATTCTCGTTGGAGTGTGTTTAGTATTTTTTTTTTTCTCAGTCTTACCCCTTCTGTACAGATTGTCCTCTGAAGTATGTGCTGCACGTTTCGTAACGGTTTCTGTGTCGATCGGTCACATTTTCCTCAAGGATCCCAGCCCTCAGATTCTGCATTTCAGTTGTGTCACTTTTAATGACTCTCGTCGCACCGTCTCCCTCCGTCCCAGGGGGTGCGCTTTGTGTTCTCCCGGGACGGCCGGGACAAGGTGACGGGGCTGGAGCAGCTGCAGGAGGGTGGCGTGTACGTCTGCTCGTCGACGGACCACTTTGTGCGGCTGGAGTACGGCCGCCAGGGACCCCCCCGGCCCCAGTGGACCCTGGGCAGGGCCACCAGGGGCATCCCGGGCTCGGCCAGGGCGCCCGCGCCGGGCAACGCTCAGGGTGGCAGGGGCTTCGTGCGCCCCAAGCTTGTCACGGTACGTCGGTTCGGGCATGGTGGGGTGAAGACGGGAGCAGAACACGGCTAAATTGGAGCTCTCACGTCGGTGGTAGTGCAAATACCTGACGTCCAGTACATGCTGGAGGTCGGGTGTTCGAGGGGACGTGCCCTACTGTTCTCATTCTTTCAGTTTCTACAGTTGGCGGCGTCTGCCTTGTAGTTCAGTAGCATCGTTTGCTAACATATGCAATAATGCTTGTCTCTGCCTCAAAGCAAAAAAAAAAAAAAAGGTAAAAAAACTATAATTGTTTAAAATACTCAATTATTAAATTTTGCTTTTTTTTTTCTTTTTTTTTTGAATTTTAAACTGTAAAACATTTAGGTTTGTATCTTCAGACCATACACCTCTACATTTTTTAAACTGTCTGTTTTTTTTTTTTAGTTATTAACAACATTAACCGTGAAGATGCAATTTTAGACCAAACATTTTTTGGTTTTGGCTTTAAAAACAATTATTTGAAAAAAAACTTGAAAAATCATTTTTTCTAACTTTACTTGTTTGTTGTGTATGCTCTGACTATATATAACCATTGAGTACATATTTTTGTACCAACCACTTTTATGATTTTTATTTTTTTGAAAACTGAGTATTTTGCTATATCTTTAATATTGTGCATTTATTTTAGAAAACTAAGAAAATGGTTCATCATAATATTTTTTTATATATTTTGTTTTCCGTACTATTAACACACATAAGTCTTCATATGGTTGAAAATAAAAGAAGTGTGCAGGCGAGCTGGTTCAGTACTTACATGGTAACCCAGGAGCGGATTAAAAACAGGATGAAGCTTTAGAACTATTGGAGTTTTCTGTTGTCCATCCTGTTTTTCTCCCACTGCTCGGTTACCATGTCTATGTTCATCTGGTACCATGTTTTTTTTAAATTAAAAGGTGAACCACAGCTTTTTAGGAAACACATCTTCACCCTTAAAAACACTTGGAAATGCATAACAAAACATAATGGATAACATACTATGCGACCTTCCTTGCAAATTGGAAATGCGTAACGAAACATAACGGATAACATAGCAGCGACCTTCCTCGCAAATCCGTGGTCGTGACATTGAACACCTCTTTTTTCACCCTCTGTGTGTGTGCACGTGTGTGTATGCCGCTCTTTGCAAAAGCATACGAACCGTTGACAGCCACTCTTTGCAACGCCTGCACCCCCCCAGGTGATTCGGAACGGGGTGCGTCCGCGCAAGGCGGTGCGGGTGCTACTAAACCACCGGACGGCTCGCTCCTTCGAGCAGGTGCTCGACGACATCACCCAGCTGGTCAAGCTGGACTCGGGCGCCGTGCGCAAGGTCTTCACCCTCAATGCGAAGCCCGTGAGCGCACTCGTCCGTCTTTTCATCGTGGCGGGGGTTCCCTATCTCGTTGGTCTCGGACATCCCCCATGTGCCCTGGACCAATGTTACTACTAGTAGATCAGTGTCAGTCGTCGAGCTTCCCAGAATGCCAGGCACCTTTCGTGGTGCTCGCTACACCGTCAGTACAGCCGATATGGACAGAAATTATAAAATGCGCGGAACGTTGGATGCACATTGACTATGGGAAAAAAAGTGATTCAATTGAAGTTTTTACAGTGAACAAAAAGTTTTTCGAAAAGTGCCTTTCGAAAACGGCCCTTCTCTATTGCTCGTAAGAACACTGCCGCTCATACCTGCCTGCCTGTGGGCAAGCGAGAAGGACCGTTTTTTAACGACGAGAATAAAGTTGAGAACAAAACACGACAGACAAGCGCTCGCTCGCAACTGGCAGTTTATCCAAACTTCAGAGGCCTCTGTTGAAGCCGAGCGGTCAACCCCGTGGTGGACCTCGATGGGGAAGTGGACGTGGAATAGGAGGACCGGCAGATACATTTGGAGCTGGCGCCCCTTTTATTCACATTGACATGCGTTGAGATCGTATCAGAGAGCCATACGTATCAAAATTCCACTCCTTTTAAGGTGCCTAAGTTCCCTAGGTCCCTAGCTAGGGACCCCCAGGTAGGGACAGGTGGTCGGTCGGTCAATCCTAGTCGAAATGATTTTCGAAATGAACGAAAATATGTATGAGGACTGCCCAAAGATAACAAATATAGATAAAACAAAGGTGGAAATTCGAAACCGTGCTACTCTGTCTGCAACATTCAGAAGCTTCGAACTCTGCAAACCTGGAATTTAAAAAAATTTCAAAATATTCAGATGTTTCTACCTTGAACCTCAAAGAAATTCTAGGCTGTCGAGCCCAAACTTTCAGGAACATAAACTGGTTACCGCTGTTTCACACGTCTCTGAGCTGTCATAGTTTCGAGCCGTTTTCAATCCCAGCAATTGGTGTTGCTGCGTAAGGATCTAGGGAGCAATTTGCCAACGACCCCAAACTTGGCGATACTATTCTTTCATGTGAAGGGGACCTTTGGACTTAGGCTAACGGGCTGGCTCCCCTCTCCCCAGGTGACTTGCCTGGCGGATCTGTTTGGCTCGGAGGACATCTTCATTGCCTACGGCCTGGAGAAGCACTCGCACGACGACTTCGACCTCGACTCTGAAGGTGCGTGTGCCGCTCCTCCCGCATCCACCGCGTCAAAAGAAAGCGGACAATCTGGCGAATACTTGAGAGACAAGGGGAGAAAAACACCTAAAGAGGGGGACAACATACACTGTGTTGGGTCTCTTTCTAAGTGTCTTCCTTTTTCTTCCCAGTCTCAAGCGATTCTTTCTGGGACTCGGTCGCAACGTTCACAGTTGCGGCCAAAGTTGGTGGCACTCTCGCGATACGTTCATTTGCCATTGATGTGGGTAGCCATTTTCGCTTGGTGTTACTGAGTGTTCGTCTTAGTGTTACCGAGATTAAAATTTCCGTTCGGCTTGCGGGTGAAAAAACCCAAAGGGTTGAGGTTGTTGGGAAATGTTTTTGTGACATTCTCTGCAAACAATGCCGTGGTCAGAGCTAATGGGGCCACACCTTTGCGGGGGAAGAGATCGCGGCGCGAGTGCTTTGCGTGTTTTGGTCCAAAGGTGGACAGTTCGGAAATGCAAGGTATAATTCGGACCTGGGTGCGCACAGTTTGTGACAAGCAAACTAGTCATTGAGGGGTTTAAGCATCCACATACGGCATTCAAAATTGGTACTTTGTCTTCTAGTACCGTAGAACCTCATTGGTACATTTTTCGGGGGACAGCAGTCAGCTAATGCAGGGGTTCTCAAACTGGGTTCCGGGGAACACAAGGGTTCCACGAGCTCGTCTCATGGGTTCCGCGAACACCCTAATTGAAACCCCCTCCCCTCCCCCCCCCCCCCCCCCCCCCATGCCGCAGGCTGCGCGGCAGGACTATGCAAAGCACCTTCATCTCACTTTGTACTGACATTGCGATTGATATGGTGGGGATATATGGGAAGCAACGCAAGCAAAATTGCGTACAATTGTGTATCTGTTGCTCCTCGGTCGGCAAATACGGAGGGGGGGTCCGCGGCAGTTTTTGAGGCTTCCTGGGGTTCCGTGAGGCCAAAAGGTTTGAGAACCCCTGAGCTAATGTATTAATGGGCGAAACGTTCAAAACCGGCATTGCTTTTGGGAAGATAAAAAGCACAAAAAGCAGCTCTCACGCACCAAGGTTTTTTTTCATTGATCTTTATGGCTGTGGGGAACTGCCTTGCAAATATATGTCTACGTTTGTTTTTGCATTATTCTATAATAGTGGCAGAAAAATCGGGATCAGTCTATAATTGTAACCAACGAAACGAAAATGTATCAACAAGGCTCTGCTGTAATTTTTTTTTTTTTAAGCAACAAGTTGTTGTGAGAGCTCTTTGTGCTATTTTGATGAGTATTTGTGACATTTCGCCCCACATCGTGGCTACAAGCATTGCGTGGTCGCTGGAGCGTCTAGTTTTTTAAAGGAGCATAGTGAAATCTTGATCCAATAATTTGCCGACATCCATCGAAAGTAAAAAATGTTGAGGTAAAAATAAAGCCAAAAATAAAAAAAAAAAATAAAAATAAAATGCACCAGTTTTGTTTTTGTTTTTTTTGCAACTGCATTGCTTTTTTTTGGTCAGGGGAGAGCTGTACTGCAGAATTAATATTTTTATGATGTAAGTCTCATTTGTACTGTAGGTATTTTAGGCATGTGTGTGCATGAATGAACTTCCTGCTCGCAGTTGTAAAATGCTCTCCTATATGTTTGTGAACAAAATTTGCTACATGCATGCTACATATACCCCAAAGAGCTATATGCTCTTTGGGGTAATTATCACTCAGGGAGGTGTACTCTCAAAGTGAGATGCGCATGTGACAGACACCTCACCCCGTGCTCAAAAAATCTCGTTGTTTGGACAAGTGAATTTTAACAACCGCCACTTTTCCGATTCCTGGGCGGGCATTTGTCGTGCTTGTGCCTCATTTCGCCAGTACACCTTTTCGAAAGTATCAGTTACTTAGAAAAGCGTACGTTTGACAGTCTTCCGGAAAAACACCGTGGGATTGGTGGTATTTTCTGTTGGGATCGATAGTTTCTGTTTTTGGCAACATGGGCCAAGCACGACAAGGCAAAGTAGGACGACCACACTCCGTTTCACGATAACTTGGCGAACTATGGAGGCTACCGCCCCCGCGAACCAATAAGAACGTTGGAGCGAGGCCTGTGACCCCACGCCACAGGAGCATTTGTGTCGCTGTGCCAAATGCGAGGCCCGGAAGAACCAGCTGTCGTCCGCTGGCCGAGAGTTGTCTGCTGCGAAACCAACCAGGACGAACGTCCGCGAGCTCTTAGGTCACAGTTCACGAAACAACAATACACTCAAGTTACCTGCGAATCTGCGGCAAGTGCTAATGAAAGGGTGAAGTCTTGAGTGGAAGCGATAGATTCCGTGCCTTTCGATCGTTCAAATGTCGTTCAAAAGCCACGTTCTCGGAAAAGTCTTGGTCCGTATTAGGTATCGTTAAAAAGTAACATGTCTTCGTCTTTCTTCCGTGTCTTGTGGCTGTCGGGAGTATCCGACCGCAACATTATTGGAAGAAAAAGAAGCCTAAAAAATTTGTTTTGTCGTGGACTGCGCTGTTACTGTGGCAGTAGCGAGGCCTCCGTGGCCTCGGCCATGGAGTGTCGTCACGTGACTTGCTCCAATGCCCTTATTGGGTCGCGGGGGCCGCAGCCTCTGTGGTTCACCAAGCTATAGTGAAACAGAGTACAGCAAGGTGTGTGACGGAGGCGCGTGGAACTCAACGACATCGAACCTGCAGAGTGGAAGAGCCTAAACGGCACGGTCCGGACCTCCGGTCGCCAAGAGCAGCGCTGGATCGCAAACGGCCGGACGTCGCCCGCGTCGGAAGGTGAGACTTCTTGGCGCGTCCCTTCTGAGGGAACATCTACGGCCGCGTTCCGGCATTTGCACGACGTCGCTCTAAAGTTAAGGTCGTCGTTCAGAAACCCACCGACGTTGAGCGCAGTCCTATCCGCGTCGTCACGTGGTGTGACCTGCAGAAGTAACTCGGATTCGCTTGAGTAATGTTTGGAATGCCGCATACATTCTCACGCAACGCGGCGTATCTGTCAAATGTCTGCGTTCACATCCGAGCCTGCATCGAACAGAGAGGCACCGGATAAGCTGCGCTTGAGAGTAACGGCACTTTGGTCGTCCTTTTCTCTTAAAAACGATTGTCGCCGGCCGTCCGTAGCTCTTTTCGAATCACCGGAAGCGCTTCCTTGTCCTCGAGAAGCGTTGGAACAATCCCCGGCAGAGTGAAACGAGTGTTCAGGCACCGTGTCTGAATCTCGGCGAGTGGCATATTTTAATTGCGTCTATAGCCGACTGCGTTTGCCCTATGATTGGCAACAAAATGGCGACGCCCACGGGACATTGGGGGAATATACCATCGATGCTGTAAGCGTAATTTTGGTCTCCAGCCGCCGACAGCCTAAGGAACGAAGGGTGTGGCGAGTCCCGGGCACTCGTCTATATTCCACGCCTCGCAGATGAAATGTCATCGTAGTTGCCCAAATCAAATGATCCAACATCATCCACAGTCCACTGCCGCTGTCATCGAAAAGATAATAGGCAAAAGCAGTCAGATACTGCGATTGAGTCAGCAGGACGCCTTGTCAGACGGGATCCGTTAAGAAATGTAACACATACTTCGGAGTACAATCCGTTCGAAAGAATGCATAATCGAGAAGAAATGGTAATGGATTGGAAGAAAGAACACAATTTTAAACGCGACCCTAGAGGAGTCGCGCTCACGACCCCACGGTTACGAGCCCGGGGGACTCCACGGCTGTGCCAAAGAGAGACTCGCAGGAAAAAAAAGACCCACCTACTCGCCGTTCGAACGCCAGACGCCGGCATTTGCGTTCAAACAGGGAGTAAAGACAAAGGCAGCTAGCATTGCGTTCATCCAATGATAGTTTTAACTGAAGCTCTGTGCTCCAATGTCCCCGTGCACTTTCGTCTGCTCTTCTCCCTCAATTTCTAACTGTATAAACGAGAAAAAAGTTTTTAAGACTAAATTAATAATTAGAAATTAATTTAACTTTGCGTATGCCGCCTTTATCTATAGGGCGAAGGTAGTTTTTCTGACAGCTCACTAGCTTGAGAAAAAGTGCAAAACGAAATCCACGGCGCGCATTCCGGCGTGCCAAATTAGAATTTTGGCGGTGCGGGAAAGCCGTCAGTTTGATTGATGGTATACGGGCGTGGAAGGAAAGAGTCGAACCGCCGTTCGCCGTAATGTGGAACTTCTGCCCCGCAGGGTCGTCTGCCGCGAGCTTCCAGAGCTCGGGGTCCCTGTCGCCGACGCCATTGCGGCCCGCCCAGGTGAGTTCCGCTCGGGTTCCCTCGGAGGGGAGGGCGCGGCCCGGGGGTGTCGTGACCCATGGGTGCCGGCCAGTTGCAGGTGCGCCTGCCCGAGGCAGTGGCCCGGCTGTACTCGCTGTGCGAGCTGCTGGGGGATGGAAACTTCGCCCAGGTGTTCCAGTGCGTCCACAGGTCTCTGCCCCCTTCTCTCGACTGCCTCGTTGTGCCCTTCTCTCGACCACCTCAGTGTGCCTCGCACAATACAGGCACTCGGACATTGTTTACGAAGAGCGCTTCGATTGTCCGGCTTTGCTAGACACATACGAGCCGAAAGTATGCAACAAAAAGAAGCTGATCTCACTTGAGACTGGATTCAAACTCAGGACTCCAAGTAAATCTCGAAGTACATTTATCTACTCTTTGCTGAGCTACCAAAACCTTGCAGTTCTCTCGTTGGTTTCTTTCAAAAACTGCCTAAACTTTTTAAGCTCATTTATTTATATTATTCTTTTTTATTTGCTGCATTCCAACAAACTTCCAATCCTCTTTTAAGAATCTTGTCTCGTTTAGTCCTACCATAGGCTGCTCTTTGTTGCGACGCCTTCCATCTGCTGCAGTGGTGAGAGTCTATCTCAAGGCACTTCCTCGACACCCCACGCCAGCGGTGAACGCGTTGCGGTAGGAAATGGGGCGCTTGAGCGGTGCACGATTCTATGCTGGTTCTCACCTGCCTTCAATTCAGGGTTTAATGCGTCCGCAAAATTGACGGAAGCGGCGCGTCCCGCCTACGCCCCGTTTCGCATCGAGTTCGGCCGCAGCCAACGCTACAGCCTGACAGAGCCGGACCAAAAGTGCGTCGTCTCATCGCTCGTCGTCTTATAGGTTCGTCGTCACCTACTAAACCCATTGCACAAAGTAAATGTGCCACGATCCCGCACTTCTTTTGTGCACGATCGGCTTAGCTCATGAAGGCAAACTTACAAAGACGTCGAGCGCCGTGAGGACACAGTTTTGATGCTGCCCGATTGGCCTGCGGTCGGCCTCAAAGTGAAATGCATCCTAGGCATTGCAAGAAACCTCTGTGTACGAGGGTTTACAACAAGATTACGTTGCAGGGACACCGGCGTGGAATACGCCCTCAAGGTAATCGACAAGGACAAGTGCAAGGGAAAAGTGAGTGCCCATTTTCTTCGGCACACTGGCCTCTCGTGTTGCCGGGCAAAAAGGGAACAGGCGGTCTACCGGTTCGATGCCGGTAGCTAGAGCAAATGCAGTAAACCCTCATTATGATAAAGGCAACGGGAGGCAAAAAGATCCTATGAAAGCGAAAGAGCTGTAGAAACCTTGGAAGTTTGTGAAGTCACCACCGAAGCCCTAAAGCAAATATCCCATCGAACAGACCTTTTTAGTGGGCAACTTCACAACATTTTTACTGAAATAAAAAAAAAAGGAGTAGAGTCGACCAAGCTTTTTTTTTTCTGCGAATCGCTAGTGCCTCCTCCGGTTGCGCGAGCCTTCTCGTAAGACCATGATCACTGCCTTCGCACTCTACATCGACACAAAGCAAATAATGTTTCATGTCGGCAGTCACGAGTTTCTCGGAAGTTCTTTGTCCGTCGCCTTTTCGTCTTCGTCGTGGCCACACACTAATCTGTGGCCGCAGCAGCGACAAAATTGTTTGTGTCGGCAAGTGCAAACGAATCAAAGTCCTCCTTGGGTGCTTTGCCGACGGCTTCAAGCACACTCTTGCAAAGATTGTTCCGGCTCTGGGAACCAACTGCTAGCTTGTCAATCGCACACTCAAGAAAATCTGTTGTGTGTAAAACTGAATTTTCAAATAATCCTTTTTTTAAAACTCTTCGATCAGGACTGTGTTAAACTTTGAATGAAGTGATATTGTTGCAGCTAGGGACTACTGTAGTGTTATGGTATTTGTGCTGCATACGCAACATTTTAATCTAATTTTGACGCAATAAACTTAAACTGTGGCTCGAGCACCCTCATTGCTACATTTATATCCCCCCCCCCCCCCCCCCCCCCCAAAAAATACTAGTTCTCGAATTTAGGCAACGTGCCTACGAATCTTACAACCGTTCCTCATTTTGGCTTACTGGTGCCCAGAATAAACATTCTATGCCTATGGAGCAGGTGAGTCAGCTTTTGTTCAGGCACTACTGTTTTTGTGAGCTTAGCACCGGTGAGGCTCAGGTTTCTCTACTCTGTTTTCTGGTGTCGCTATCTTGCCATTGTTGCCGACCAACGCGTGACCCGTGTTTGTTGGCTGGCGTTTTGGACGACATTTGTGGGCCCGTCTCGAGTTGTGGCCCATGACACTGCTCCTTTCACCCTGCCCAGGAGCAGATGATAGCCAATGAGGTGGCCATCCTTCGACGAGTCCAGCACCGCAACATTGTCCGGCTCGTGGAGGAGTTTGACTTTGACTCGGAGCTTTACCTGGTCATGGAATTGGTCAAGGTGAGAGCCCGCCTCCTAGACTTCCAGGACTGGGATTGGTCGACGGAGCCACTTTTAGGCGCCAATCAAGGAGATGTATTTTTTATTTCGCTTACGAGCTCGATCTATTGGAGTCTGACAAAACGTTGCTACTAAAGTCTGCTGTTCCGGTTAATGCCTCGTTCACACTTGTAAAGAACTCTCTTGCCCACAACCGAATTCGCTTGGTGTAAAAAGAGAGTGTTGTTCACGTTTGTTGCTGCATGCCACATCCACACAACTCCAGTCTTTTTTATTTAAAGAAAAAAAATGTTTTTATTACAAACTTTAACAAAACAGCAATTCGGCACAGTTTTATTACAAGCTTTTGAACTGTAACAATAAGGCAATTTGGATGCTCAAAATAATTTTATTCTTACATTATTTCAGTGGTATATGCTACCATTTGGTTTACCTTTGGTTTTGTGCCCAGAATAACCGCTGACAGCAGTTCATAATGTCCTTCATTGGTAAACATGTTGTTGCCATGCCTGGTGCTTTTACGCGCAACTAAACAGCTAGTTCTGCATTTCAGGGAATCGAACCTATTATGCTGTTAACACGAACAGAAGGTTGCACACAAGCTTTAGGGCAGAGGAACCATTCCAAAAGCTTTTTTCTGCCACTTCAAAATGGGCTTCAGGCTGCTTCAGCCTGCTCCAAAAGGTGCTCCAAAATGGGACTTGGACTAGTCACACCCCCGCCAACACCATCAAAGTTGACACTAGTCTGGAACCACTTTCGTTTACGTCGACGAAAGCAGGATTGATCCCAGCTATAGTCGGTGGCAGGTTAAGAATTCATTAGATGCTCCGCCTACAGCATGCACTTGTTGCCTTCCACTGGGCTTAGGCCACGCCTGCGGCACAGCGCTATCGGAAGCAGAAAGCTCGCTACGAGGCAGGGTGTCTCCCGAGCTCTTGGGCTGTCACCGACTTTAGAAATGTCACAATGAGCGTTTATCCAACCTTGGAAGCAGCATCGCCAAAGTTCTCCAATACGCCACTGGTTGCTTAACTGGAGCCAGAGTTTGCTACGAGGTCGGAAACTGCCACCGGGTACACCACTCTATCGGAGGGGGCATTTTCAATTGGCCAAGCTTGGTCTGCCGGGCAAGTTGGTAGTGGACATTCATATTAAAAATAGCGCAAAAGAGACGGGACAAAAAGGCGAAGAAGCACACAGGACAAACAGGCACACGGGACAAGCGTTTGTCCTGTGTGCTTCTTCGTCTTTTTGTCCCGTCTCTTTTGCGCTATTTTTAATATGGATTGGCCACTCCGCTCCGAGTGAGCCGCTCCAAATTTGCGATTATGATTGGTCTTCGGGGAAACAATTTCTCGTGCACCGACATTTCGTTACGCCTGTGATCGATCACTGTACGCAAGCGTCGGTCATTTTTTATTGATCTCTAACAACATAACCTAGAAATAAGCATTTTTCGTTTGTTTTCAAAGAAAACTATGCTTTTATGAGCAAAACAGACCCAGGCTGCGGCAGAGGTTGTGTACGATTGTAATGATTCGAGGGGCATTTACGGAAACAATACTACTTTATTGCTCTAATTTTATTTTGCATATTGCGAGGAGATCTCGTCAGTCACTGTGGGCTCACTTCAACGTTCAGTTTACTTCGTCGCCACCGTTCGATTTCGCGTCTGCGTCTCGCGCGTTCTGGACGTGCTCCCACTATCCACCACCGCTTGTGCTGTGTGAAATGCAGGCAATTACACGTGAGGCTTTGCAGTGCCTCCACTCGACACAGGCACTCGTGGCGCCAAATTTTCGAGCGGTGCTGAAATTTAATTTGGGCCAAGAAGAAATGGAGAAGGGTATTGTTTCGTAAAACATAAAAAAGGAAGTTCGATCGGCCAGCGAAGCGTAAGGGGCTGAAAATGCTAACATTAACGAGAAATGCCGCCAGTGCGATGACACGTCGGCGCATTCCAGGGGTGTCTCATTCAAAGTGGATTTGAAATTCCAATGCAGAGCGCAAGTTCGTCTGCTTCTTTTGCAGGGGTTGTGGTGACGTCAGAATGCTGAGCTCGGATTACTCTGATTAAAGTATGGTGGGTAGACCTCAAAGCAAGCTGCCTTGAGGTCTACCCACTATCCTTCAGTTAGAGCTCGGCGTTCTGACGACACCACAACCCCTTGCAAAAGAAGCGGACGAACTTGCGCTCCGCATTGGAATTCACACCAGACCCCCGGGGCGTTTGCAAGATTGGCAACTCTCGACCCCACCCCCCCGTCCCCCGTTGACACCGACGCCGTACATGCTCGCATACCAACTTCTTCAATACCGTTACGGAGACGTTCCCTGACCAGTAACGTATCAAAGGACTCTCGTTGCACACGTCGTCAATTCCAGCGCGTAAACGCGATTCATCGCATTCAATGACGTCGTCGTCCCTAGGGCGGGGACCTGTTCGACGCCATAGCGGCAGCCAGCAAGTTCCCGGAGGCGGAGGCGGGGCGGCTGGTCTGGCACCTGGCGGGGGCCCTGGCCTACCTGCACGCCCTGTCCATCGTGCACCGGGACATCAAGCCGGAAAACCTGCTGGTGGGCGGGGGCGGCCTGCTCAAGCTGGCCGACTTCGGCCTGGCCGTGCAGCTGCCTCCGGGGGGAGAGCGCCTTTTCACCGTCTGTGGCACCCCCACTTACGTGGCCCCCGAGATCCTCGCTGAGACAGGGTGAGCTCCCCGTCTGGGCCCGTCCGCGCTTGCGTCGCCGAACGAGCGTTGCGGTCGCCAACGGAGCATGAACAACGGGCGCATCTATGAAACGCCTGGCCTTTGGCAAAGAACATGTTGCTTTCCACTTTGGATATGCGCAGAGCGCTGGATGTGTGCTAGACGGCCGGGCGCTGTCCAAGGTGGGAAGCCGGAGGCAAGAGAGGACTGGAGCTCCACCGTGCTGTTTTCACCTTGCCAGTGACTGCGGAGAGCAAGTCGTCTGCTTCTTGCGCTGGAGTTGCGATTACATCAGATCGACCCCGAGCTCTTGTTGGCTGATAAAAAAAAATAGTGGCTAGACCTCAGTGCTAGATGCCTTGAGGTCTACCTACTATTTTTTTGATCAGCCAATAAGAGCTCGGCGTTCTGACAACATTCCAACCCCTGCGCAAGAAGCAGACAAACTTGCACTTCTCATAGGAACGACGCAGGTGCGACGCCAACCTGAACTTAACTGCTCATTGGCCTGGATGCTTGGGTGCTTTCCGCCCTAGTAAATTTCGTCACCCCAGCACTGCTGATCCATGTAAAAGTAAAAAAAAAAAAGAAAGAAAAAAAGGTGGGGAAATAAAAATTAAAAATTTAGAAAGAAAAAGCATTTTCAAAAGTCTTGTCATTTTTTTTAAAGATGATGTAGAACCCTTTTTGTGGCATTTCAATTATTTTAAAATGATGCAACCTCTAGGTCTCGAGCGTAGACAGCGTCTACGGCCGTCCCGTTTCTTTTGGTGGGTATGTGGGGCATTATGAAAAGGTAGACGCATCCAACCACTTTCTCCGCGGCGGCTTCTCCGAATTCTCGTCTATCCGTCGGCTTCGTCAGATGATCCGATTCGTTGGCTTTTGACGTCCCCGGCGCGTTTTTAGCACTTCATTTTGCCTCCCGATAAAACTCCCATAGCTTGATGAAAAGACTTCGGACTGAGGACCGTGACTCAACCTGGCACAGACGCGGCTCCGTGTCAGCACTACGTCGCTAATAGGGCACAAAGTCAGCGCCCCATCGGCGGGGTCGGTGCCACTTTTTGACTCTGGAGCCTCTGCGATTGGTACGACGAATCTGGAGGAATGGATCTGCCCGTCTTCCCATGCGTTTGAGGTTCCTGGAGACGGCACGGCATAGTTGCAACACGGTGCCTGAAACGCGTCTCAGACCGGCACCTTTTGCGCCTCCTCAAGAGCGACTTTTCGGTTTCCGCTCAATGACGGCATAGAAGTGTCACACTCATACTTTTTTGCTGGGACTTCTAGCTCTGACCTTTGGGATCACGACGTCCGACACTCCGGCCCCTGTGACGTCGTGTGTATCCACTTTGGGACCACTATAGACAGTAAAGAGTCCTTAGTGGATGCATGGGAGCGGCAAAATCCTTTAGAGGTGTTAAAAATCGCAAATCGTTTGCATGCAGGCGGCGCTCTCATATGCAAAAGATGCCCAAAGATGGGCATTTTTCGTTGGTCTTTAATGTTTTTCCGTCATTTCTCGCGTGTTTCAAGCGGACTTTTGGTGCACAGTATAATTTTGGATGCTAAGCACAAAAATCAGCCAATCTTCTACATAGAGTAGATCTTATTATTTTCGAGAGAATTTCGACATTAATGCGAATGTTTCTTTCGTCTTTTTTATGGTACTTCCACCAGAAATGATGGCACAAAGTATGTCTGCGTGTTCTACGAACAACTGAGAGTGCAACAAAACCATTTTTGTAGCTTCAGCGACATCCTGAAACAAGTTGCTATATTTGAACATTCTTTCAGCGATAATTAGAAATGAGTCATTACAGGTATTTCGAATTAGAAAACCTTATGATTAGCATTATTCAGAGATTTTATTCCCGTTCATGTCTTTCCAAAGTATGGCCATCCCGAAAAAAAACATCTGCATTCAGGTTCTACATCCGAAAATGCTGGGGGGCAGAACATAGTATTGGGATGAAAAAAAAAAAATTCTGACATTACAGGAAACATTTTTTCCAATCATGCAACTAAATGGTAGATACAAGATTTGGAATTGATGCAACAAAATAATGTGCGCTTTCCGAGTGCTACGTTAGAAAGTATGCCGCACATGTTTTATATCTTTCTAGAGCATGTTTGTTCGTTCTGACTATTTGAGACCGGTGTATTTTTATGCAAACAGTTCTGGCAACAGCGTGCACCTCACCTGCTGTGTGCAGGTATGGCCTGGAGGTGGACGTTTGGGCCATGGGGGTCATCATGTACATCCTGCTGTGCGGCTTCCCGCCATTTGTCAGGTGAGGGCCTCCTGCTTGGCATGATAGCCACGCACGGTGCGAGTCTTTGTGCAGAAGTGTTTGTCTGGCAATGGGTATTTTTGCTCTAAATTGGCAAACAAGAATTTTCATTTATATCCGATCTGGTATTTAAACTGGGGTTGCGAAGAGGAAGTAGAAGTAGAAGAAGGATACAAATTAGTTGTAAGTCGGTGCTTGTGTTTGTCCCTTTGTGTGTCTGGTTTTGCCCTCGTCTAGCGCGCTATAACCTCAAGATGAATCACCAACTCGCCCAAGCTTCCGTCTTAACGAATATATTGTTTAGTATTAAATGACATCATGTGATGGGATGTCACTGTTAGATTGTATCATGACGGCGTGTGTCGTTTTCCGACTAAATTTAGCGCGTAAATGCTTCCCAGAGGCTGGGGCAACTACAACCAAACAGTGTGGTGAAACATTAGTATAACGAGCGAGATAATAACAGCAAACCCTATCAGCATTTATAAAGCGCTCGGTGCTGCTAAATTACAGATGATGGTCAGACTCATCCGAACAAATGTTTTCCGAGTCTTTTTGCGTGGCAAATGCCAGTTTGCTCGAGCGAAAGGGTGAAAGTTCTCGTTCATCGGATAAAGCACTTTCTTCTTCCTCCCGCGCAGTAAATAGCCACATTCTTCCTAGTGTGTCTTGCCATTTGCCACATTTAAGCAAGAGGCGAGAAGCATCTCGGGGAATGATTTTATTATCTGCGTCACAAAGCAAGCTTAGTGGTTATATTTAGGGCACCTTAATGACATTCCTTTTAGGGTGATGATGTTCTTCGTAGTACCCGATGCCAACAGCTTCCGCTCACCTGCAAAATAGAAACAAATAGTTTGAAACAAAATGCTGCAGTAGCACAGCCAACGTCAAGAGTTTGTGCCGGGAAGCACCGTTTCACATGCTTTAGAAGAATGGTTCTAAACTATCGATGTTTCGCGGACCCCTTGTGAATCGTCGGAACTGATGGAGGACCCCGTTAATGGTGAGAGGAGGGGAAAGTTATAGGTTAAATATAATGATTTAATAAATGGATATAACTAAGTGCTGGTGTGAAGTAGTAGGCCTCTGTTATTGACATGCACACGAGAAACTTTGTCCGGAAACTGAAAGATTTCTTCTTGACCTGAGAAAAGACTACTTTTATTGCCAGCTTGACTGATTAGGTAGGGCTTCGCGGACCCCTAGAATGCCTTCGCGGACTCCAAAGGATCTGCAGACCCCCATTTGAGAACCACTGCTCTAGAACATAAAAAAAAAAAAAAAAAAAAAAAAGATTTTTGGATAAAAATTATTTGATATCATCGCACTAAGCAAAGAGCACATGAAGGCACCCTAGTTGCAGCGCTGCATTCTGCAGACGGCAGTAATTGGTAAGACTTTCACCTTGTCCAAAGCAAGCCAAGTTTTTAGCTCGAGTAAGGAGAGGCACAGTGTTGCTACTCTGCTAGGCCTGCATCCTCTCAGTTCTGTTTTTTCAGCGGGGGAATCGGTCTTGCGAGGTAGCTGGAGCGAGCGCCTGTCGCGGCGCTCGCTCCAGGGGGACATTGAACGGCCCGTTGTGTGTGGGTCGCCATCGAGACTTGCGTGCCTCTCTCGTCTGCTTGCAGCCAGTCGAGCAACCAGGACGAGCTGTTTGACCAGATCCTCAGCGGGAGGTTCGAGTTCATGTCTCCCTACTGGGACGGCATCTCTGCGTCTGCAAAGGTGGGTGGCTTCCTTCGGCCGGTCGGCTTCTTTTGGCCGGTCGGCTTCTTTTGGCCGGTCGGCCTCTTTTGGCCGGTCGGCCTCTTTTGGCCGGTCGGCCTCTTTTGGCCGGTCGGCTTCTTTCTTTACTGCGTAGTGCGCCCATTGCACGGGCAAAAATGTTGCACAAAAAGGCCTTTCATGCAGGACTTCGAAAGCAAGATAATGCACGAAAGAGACATCTTAGTGCCTTGATGCTTTAGTCGTAAGATGAAACAGACTTTAATTGCAAGACGAGTCATTCGAAAAGTGCTCGAGGTACACCTAAGCACTTCTTATGAGTTGTGAATGCGAAAGCATGCACGCCACTCTTCGCTCCCTTTAATCTGCGGCGTACAACGCACTGACCTTGGGCATGGAATAGGGGAGCCGCTGCCTCGCGGACATGCAGCGCCATCGGGTGAGCGATCAATCAAACTGTCGTGTGCCTTGCAACGCGAGGAAGGAACAGATAGCAACGTAGTTCCCAGCAGAACAAACCCCTTGGTTTATTCCATGCGTCATATATATTGGCACGCACCGTACAACCGATAAGAGGCAAGCAAACGCGGTGATCGGTGATAGCACAACAGTGCGATAACACAGTCAGGATGACACCTCACAAACTGACGCGCAGCGGCCAATGGAAGCCTCGTCGATGCGCGCCAGACAATGGGATTAAAGTGTAAAAGGTTCCGTTGGCTAGCTTTGCATGTGGCTTCATTAAGGTGCCATTTTGCATGGTTTCAAAGCTGATGACGTTTACTCGCTCCATAAGACAGTCAATGCTTTCGCATTAATAATAACGCCCTGGTATCCGTATTCAGGGACGCCGTCGAGCGTGCATCCGCCAAAGCAGTGGTGACTTGCCAAGTGGGGAGGTTTGTAAGCGTGATTGACACGTGTGCGCTTGGAGGGATTTGTATTCGGCTTCCGCAGCTTGCACCAGCTGACAAGCTTAGGTAGGCACATGTTTGGTCTTCAGTTGTTCATTGGCGGAATTAATACCGCTATGTGTGGAGCTGCAGGCATTCGGACGAAACAAAAGGAAACCCGGGGAACATTCGCTTGCAAGAGATTTGTCAATCCCGATTTGTTGTGAAAACTGCAGTAGTTATAACAGACCTTGATTTTGACCAAGATTTCGGTCTGTTGTAAAAGGAGTACATTGTATGCAGATAGGAAGTTGAGTCAATGGTATGTCAGCGACTGCGATAATCTGTAGAGTTTATTCGCAGAATCATAATATAGCCAGGGAAAGCATACTTTTTTTCTTTTTTTGACAGGCAAGCCGTTGCTATGTGCAGTCATTGTCTGTTGCCCGTCACGGGGGTGCAGCATAAACGTCTTTTTGCAGGAGCTGATTCGGGGGATGCTGCAAGTGGAGGTCTGCGAGCGCTTCACGGCAGCACAAGTTCTTGGGCATCCCTGGCTGGAACACGTGAGTGGTTGGATGGAGTATGCAAGACCATGTGGGAGGAGAGAGATTTGGCATTTCGAAAGTCTCCACTGTGAATGATGGCAGTGCTACCATACCGTATTTACTCGCATAACGAACACACTTTTTTTCCCCAAATATGTACAGATATTTGGGGAGGGTGTTTATTACGCGGGACAAAATTTTTGAATTTACACACTTTGCGCAAATGTGGTGCCGATACGACACGGCAAAGTACTGTGGCAGGTCCCCACTGACGGATGCACACCCACGGCTGGTCGTGGGCGTGCCACTGTAACCGTCTCTATAAATTGCTAACTTTTTTTAGCGCACTTTCGACGTGCCTTTTGCCGAATGAAACGTGCCCTATGACACTCATCAGCACGAAGAGCGAGTGCAAGGAGTGTGCGAAATGATGCTCTGCCTGAAGAAACTTCCCACGCCGTAGACGGCCAGTCTTTCGTTGGCTTCGCAGACATCCATCCTTTTTCTTGCTTGCAGAGGACGATTTCTTTTGGCTGGTTCTCTTTGGGCTGTATCTTCCTCTTAGAAATGACGTACGGTGTTAGTTTGTACCTGTCGGCGCTGGACGTCTGTGCTATAATGCTCTCGGCCCCTTTCGCGTTGACAGTCGTGTTTCTGGGCACATCATACTTCGGTGGCGTTTGCTCCGCATTTGCTGTTTGTGAAGGGGCGAACCGCTTTTCCCTCTGTCGCCCAACGACGAAACCGTGAAAATCTAAAACCTTGCCTTTGTAACTCAGGCACAAACTTGCGCATCTATGTGAGGGGAGTTCATTCTTTCGGGTGAAGGAACGGACAACGCAGTGTCCGCCAGTGCCGATGGCGACTTTTCAACGGATTCTGATAACCAGACATACTTAGTAGAATAAAATTTAAAGCTGTTTCTTACCAGTCCGGGAGTAACGTCGAAACACCCACCTCTCGCTTCTGCATTTCTTCGGGAAATTTTCCCCGCGCAATTGTCGCATACCGAACGTACAAATTACGAAAGAAAAAAAAAGTGTCTTATAATATGCAAGTCAAGATGCTAGCACTGCCATCATTCACAGTGGCGACTTTTGAAATGCAGATTCTCTCTCCTCCCACATACTTCTGCCGGAAAGAAGGCGCCTTGTGGCTCAACTCGATTTCGAATAGAACACTAGATTTGTTTGAATAGAACACTAGGTTTGAAAAAAAACTTGCGTTATATTCGTGCAAATGCAGTACATAAAAATTAAGAAAACAAGCACGTGCATTGACCGTTTGGAGCATTAAAAAAAAAACTTATCTGGAGGGGAGTGGTGCACACTCAATGGCGTGAACAAGACGACAGTATGGGCAAGCACGTGCGGGCATTTCGCGTAACGTAGCCGCGTAGAGCCATCTGGACACAAGGTTGCACACTAACAAATTATTTAGACCCAAGTCCGAGACCACGTGGTACAGCAGAGGCAGCGCAAAGGTGATTTCTCCGTCGCTGCTGCCGCAATATTTTCGTTCTCTGTGCACATCACTTGAGAGCAACAATTTACGTGAAATCAATTGGTTACCACTCATTTTTGCTTTGTGGGGCTCCGCAATTTCTTTGTCAAACAGAAATATTTGTTAAACAGGAATTTGTTGTGGTACTCTGAGAAACACATTGAGCACGGGACTTTATTTTAGTTTGTTAAACGGGTGTTTTTGTTGAGGTGTTTATTATAAAGGCGTTTGACTGAACCACTCAACAGTGCGCTTGCATGCAACCAGTGCCGCTCTCAGATGCGCTCGAAGGAAAAGCCTGCCTACTGAAAAATCTGGAACTGTCAGAATTTTAAAGCATCTGGAAAAGTTTAGGAAATGTCAAGTCGGGGAAAATGGCTAGTGTGGGCAGCGCAGCGACCCACGACGAAGCATGGAGGGTGCGGCGTACGGTGGCATGGACGGCCCTCACACCGAGTGACGGCTGCCCGCACCCCGGGTGTGGGGGGCCAACATCGCCAGGAGCAGCAGCACTCCCCATTTTTGTGCAACGGGGTTGCGGCGGTTGTCACTTGTGGTGTCGCGCGTCCCGGTGCCTCCGCCCGGCGCCGTTGCTCTGACAGCCAAAGATGCACCTGGGATGTGCTTTCCCCCACGTTGACTCGGAGTGTTGCGCAGAGGCAGGAGGAGGGCAGCGTGCGGACCTCCTGGCGCATGGACCTGCACCTGGAGGATCGGCCCCGGTCTGCCATCGAGGCCAAGGGGGCTGCCTCTGCCACGGTCAGTTCCACCTGCATGGCACATCTGTCTCTACAGTCTGAGCAAAACAAAAGCCATCTGAAAATCAAGTACCGTAAGATCACGTAAGGGCGCCCACCCAAAATGCACAGTCCAGTTTGCACGAATGCAGACGTCTCTCTTCCTTCGCTGGACATACTCGAAGAATTTTAAAGACCCGATAGAGGCGCGTCAAACATCAGAGCATTAAAGAGTATCGACAAGGGGCAATGGTATGGAGAAGGTCATCGGCGACTGTGAATCGCACAACTCACGCCTCAGGGTATAAAGACAGACCTAGGGGTGCACCGCATGAAAAGCGTTTTCGAGCTACCACGGACGAGAAGCAATGCTAGTTCATCGCAGCTGTGACGGCAGATCCTACCCAATTGGAGCTTCGCAAAACCCTGGAGATCGGGACGTCCATCCGGGCAGTCGCGCCGCAGTTAAGAACTGCCGTCTCGGTAGCAGACGACGAGGAAGGGCAGACTGGTGCAAGGAGCGCCAGAGAAGAGTTGTCTCGACCTCGACGTGCGTCGCAGCTTCTAGAGAAATTCTGGCAAGCGGCTCCGATAGTACCGCTTGCCACATGGAGCGGCGTTTCAACTCGTATTGGCCACGATAGTACTTTGTTTCATCCCAACAGGGAAGGTAACGCACTGACGGCAGGGGCTACAGTCACGCACTTGTACCTTTGCGGTTAGTCCGTGTTAGAGTCAGGCAAAATGTAAGGGCATAGGCTTTCTTCGTAAGAAGCTCCGCTCCAACCATGTATGCGGAAGAAATGCAACGCCGCTCGGTAACTTTGTTAAGCGGCGTTCCTTGACGGCGAATGCTGATTTGGTTGATGTGTTCTTTCTTTCAGTCCTGACATTTTGGAGGGCAGCCTCGAAGCACTTCGGGTAAGCTGCCGTTTCGCCGTTAATATCCTCTTTGTGTCGCATTTTCTTAAGGGACGAGGTACAGCCTCACCTACAGCATATCTGCGTGTTTGTAAGAACTGTTTGCATACCACTAATTTTCGTGACCTACGCAGACTTTATCGTACGCTTTGCACGCGATAAAAGTGTGCTACGCTCAGAAAACATTGGTGTCCGTTTTTTGTCCGACGTTGTTTGCATTGGGGGGGTCACCAAAACGCAATACCTTTATGAGGTATTTGAATGCCGAGCCCAGCCATTGCAAGCGACATTACGCCGCATTGTTTCAAGAACCGAAACACGGTTTACGGACACCATGGTGCGACTAATTTGGGCGGACGACGTCAAAATTCTGCTAGTGTTCCCTGGTCGCCAGTTGCAAAGGATCGACATGAGTAAATTCATTATTGCCATAAATATAGTCAGTGAGAGGTTAAGGGTGAAGCAATCTCCTCTCTGGTGTTCGCTCTGCTGAAGTGGAAAGAGGTGGGAGGAGCTTCCCCTGAACTCTTAACATGTCACCGACTATGGAGCTCTAAAAATTGGGAAACCTGGTGTATGTAGTACTAAGTAACCTATGAGTATTTCATTTCAGGAGTAATGGACCTTTGGGTCCTTTGCATTTTAGCAAGTTGAATTTATTTTAAACAAAATTCGACTTGCTAGATTTCATTTGAATGATCCCATAATATGCACCGGAGAAATCTCACTATGCTCGGGATTGTGGGAATTCGTACGAAGGAAAGAATGTTTGTACGATGCAGAGTTGCTGTTACTGAGATCCAATAAGTCATCTCAGCCACAGCTCAAGTTAACGAGCTGTATAAGTGCCTTTTAAAGTAATTATCAAACATCTAGTCTTCAACCAGAAACGAATAGCAAAAAGAGCGTGTATGTTCAAAGTATCAAAGAGACTCACGTGACTAGCACATTTTCGAGTCTGCAAGGGCAAATTATAGTTAAAATAAAAGTGTTTCTTTTTATGTAGCCCATACCCACTTTATAGCCCACAGATGAAAATGTCTCACACTCGGCACACATTGAGACGTTCCTACATTTGTTAGTGTGCAAAAAAGCTTGTGTCGTTCAGAAATCATTGTCGCAAAATCTGTCTTGTCATGTCGTAATGAACGGTCTTTAAAAAAAAAAAGAATCCTTTTATTGCCCACATTGCACAAAATTTTAACTTTTCAACGCGTATAGTTTGTGGACCATAGTCCGGAAAATGGGGCGTTTGGACTGCGAGCCAGAACTAGATGAATTGTTCCGCAGCCTTTCGGGACAAACCGCTTAATGCTGTGTGCTCTTGTTTACAGCGTGGACGTCCCCGAGGTGCATCCCTTCGACATACTGAAGGAACGAAGAAGGCGGCGAAACCCCGGATAGAGTTAACACACACTATTTACTGCGCACAATTAACGGCGAGATAACCGTCACACACAACGAAGAATCTTCCACAAAGTCGAGGTCGCGGGAGGAACAACCGGGACGCCGCTGCCGCACGGCCGTCCCGCCAACCCGCAAGGTCATCACGCACAAACAACCTTGTACAAACTAGGGTCGGTCTAATGCAGTGCAACGATCTGTGTCGTAACTAGTCAGAAGTGTCGCGATAAACCACGCAACCTCTTTTTTTTATTATTATTATTTTATCGAGGTTCTTTAATCAGTTCCTTCTCTCGTTTCACGTCCGTTTCTAACTCATTCGAGACTCACACTTATTTCGCGGAGCACTCTTTTAACGTTTTATGCACATTGTTTTGTTCTGGAGGGACGTCGATGACCCTGTTCGCTCGACCGCTCCTTCTTCGCAGAACCGACGCCGAAATATATCGGCGTCATTGGTGACGTAGTGCTAAGGTCTACTGGCAGCCATCCAGATCCGAAAACGACTTCCAGAGTCTTGCGCCGTTTCATGTTGATTTTATTGCAGATTTTATTTTTGGGCATTCGGGGAGTCGGCGAAGCTTGCACAGCGAAAATTGTCGGCTAAAGAGGAGTGGTCCGGTAACTCTATGCTTGACTAGGCCCAGTTCAGATCTTGGGCGTCTTGTGGTGCTCTCTAACCGACCGGTTTTTATTTTTTAAGTGCTCCCTGGGATACAGTCTCGGGCATTAACCGTAGGGGTCGGTTGTAAGACGTGGCGGTCGTTGTGATAGCAAAGTGCTCGAACGGGAAGAAACGCACGCTCAACTTTTTTTAGGGTATCCCGAAAGCACCGCGTTAGACTGAATGTGGATCCCGGCCCGACACGACGTCACGGCGGACCGACATTACCGCTCGAACGCCGAGGAAAGAGTGATGCGCAAGGAGTGTGTGGAGATGCTGCAAAAACAGTTTAGACCGAGTTTCCACGCCTTGTTCTTTCAGTCGCGGTAGGTCAACACCATTTCACCGAAAATCATGCCTTTGTGTCAAGTCCCGGTATATGGTTTCTGCGTTTCAAGCTTTGCCATCACTTTTTAGTTATATGTGCACGAACGAAAGATGTGCTCTTTATTTACCACTGCATAGCTGTGCTAGATACGTTTTTTCCCGTTTCACATTTTTCGGCTTTTAAATGTGCTATGTTTTTAGTTGTAGATTTTTAAACAGTTTTACTAGGTGCCTTTACAGATGCCAACGAACTGCACCATTTATTAAAGTTAAAATCGTAATTTCTTATTATTTCTGTTCGCACTTTTAACGCTGGAAAAGGATGTTTTGGAAACCGTACGAAGCGTCGAGTGGCCACCGCGTAGACGTGAAAACTTGGAAAAGTGTCGTTACCCCATGTGCATGTTTTCTACCGAACGTCGACTGTAGAACATTTGTCCACGCTCGTGGCTTCCGTCTCGGCTGCGCCGAGCTCAACGCCTCGACCACGTCCTGCGAAGAAAAACGCATCCATAGTTCTTGAAATTGTTGCGAAAGAGTCGAGCGATTTGTACAGTTCTAATAATAATTAAGATGATTTTATACTTACAATAAATATGAGTTAGGTGAACTATAGTTGCTTGTTTTGTTTGTGCGAAGTACTAGTGGGAACACGGGTGGGAATTTTGGTGCGGAAGAACGTACAAAAGTGCTGGACCGTATCTACGCAAACCAGACGTAATGGAACACAAAGCAGACGAATAAAAGTAGGTTCACAGAATGCAGATCCAACCTCATACTGCTATTTTACAACAATCGTTCAGATTGTTGGGGGTCACGTGACCTTGGGATGACCTTGGGGTCACGTGACCTTGGGGGTCAAGTGACCTTGAGATGACCTTGGTTACGCCGACGGCGACGCCGCTCAAGCCGGGAACGGGCCCCTAAGAGCTGCGCTCTAAAAAAAAGATCTTGATATTTGTGATCCTGGAGGTCACTCACACAGAACTGCTGCAGTTTCCTTTTTTATGCGAAACATTATGAGGATTGCAAGTTCGTCTAGTTCTTGCACAAAGGTGTCGATGATATCAGAGTTGGACCACCGAACTCTTATTGGCTGATAGAAAAAAAAAATAGTGGGTAGAGGTCAAGGCATCTAGCATTGATGTCTACCCACTATCCTTCCATCCTTCCAATCAAAGCCAATCAAAACTCGGCGTTGTTCTGATGTCACCGCAACCCCTGTGCAGGAAGCAGACATAGGTACCGACCAAGAAGCAGAAAGGACAAAACTTACTCTCCACTCTTCTCGATTTTCTCCTCGCTGTTTTTTCCGCTGTTGGAAAAAAAAAAAAAAGAAATAACCCCTTCTTTTTACGACGCCGTTTAGGATTAGAAAAGGTCTAGCGGCCAGTTAGTAATCACACAAATAAATGGAGAAGCCCCATCTTCATTCTTCCTCGCTTCCCCCTTCTTGACGCTACCCTTCACTTTGAGCCTCGGACATGAAGTACTGACAGTGCCGTGGATGCTACGTGCTCGTCGGACCAGTCATACGCCTATTTTTCCCCACGTCCTTACGCCCCAGCTCATATACCTACGCGCAGGGGCGGGGTGATGCGATGAAAGGAAACGGTTGAATGGTCTGCCCAGCACGTAGCTCCTATCGCACCGTCAGCTTTAGGCGGAACAGAGTGTAAACTAAAGAAAGCCAAGCCTCTATCCTCGCGTGCTGGCATCTGCTCGCCCCGTCGGGTTTCTCACGTGGTTTGTTCATTTCAACAACTGTCTAGAAAAGATTTTACCGACAAGGGAACATCGACAACTTTTTTTCTGGAAGATAGTTTTTTTTTTTTTTTTTTTGCCTTTAATTTTGAGAGCGAAATATGATTCTTTACTGTTTCAGCAACCGCATCAAATACTTAAACTAACTTTTGCGAATAACTGATTTTAACAAGTTTCACGATCAAAAATAATTAGAAAAATTGAAATTGATCACGCAAATACATCACTCTATCACAACCAGTGCATAGCGAATCACAATCGTAGATACCCCACTAAATATTCCCGAAGTTCATACTTGGCGAAATCCAGGAAATTAGGTGACCGCAGAAATGAAGTCGTCTAGAGTACAACAAACGTTAAAAGTCTATGAGCCTTTATCATATGTTCTTCTCGAAAAAAAGAATGCGGGGCGGCGGCCTAAAAGAATACACATAAAGGTGGAGGCGACCGTGGAAGAGCACCAGCTTAGCGTTTCCGGCTGAGGTTGGCACGACGATGCTTGACCCTCTTCTAAACGAAGCAAACGCTGAAAAGGAAGATGATTCACTAATGCCATGACCATGAAAACTGCCATGCCTCTCCGAGACACCTCGGTATCCTCGCACAACCCCTTAGGAAAAACGGCTTACAATAGCATGCGCTCCCCAGACAACACACAGACATCCGCTGGACATCCAAAGGATGTCCCGACTGGGACATTAGGGACATCCTGCGGATGTCCGAATAATGTCCAGAAGACATCCGAAGTGAAACACCAAAGGACGTCCTCAGGATGTCCAGGAAAGGATGTTTCCTGGACTTTATTAGGACATATATAGGACATTGTATATTTTCATACTGGTGTACTAATTTACACTACAGTGGGATAAGACCACACAAGTCTTGAAACAAATAAACCTTTATTATTTCAATGTAAAAAGCAAAGACAGAGAAATAACATATGAGGTGGCATCAATAAGTATCTGAACAGCCACCACTGAACAAAAAGAAAATGCAGCACCACAGTGCGACACACCTGACCCTTCCTAGCAGGCTTGCCAGTCACTGTGTGGTGACAAAATGAATTCCGAGCTATGCTTGTTTGTTTAAAAGGTATTTCACAACTTTCTGACCGCATAAGGCAAATAAAAAGCTCAAACAGCACGTTTACATCAAATTTCCTGTGAGAATTGGGAAGAACATGTCAAAATACCACACACTCCTCACCAAGCATTTGGTGACCATGATTTAGTAAAAACATGTATAAGTGAGTGGCATGGACATTTTAGGCAAGGCCAAGAATTCCTTGGAGACGATGAAGAGAATGCCCTCCGAGAAACATAACATTTCAGAGTGCCGAAAAAAAATCTATGTGTTATTTCACGAAGACCGTCGGAAGCGCATTTCGGATATTAGAGAGTTTTAGTAGATCGTGTTTTCAGGCCACGCTAATCGTATCGGGAGCTCGCGCTGCCACTTCGATGCATGCTCTGAAGCGCGCGCTCGTAGCGGTAGCGGGCCTTTGAAAACGATCTACTAAAACTCCCTATTGCTGAACCATAAATAATGTTGAGTTGTTCAGCAATGTCCGAAATCGTTCTCAGAAAGTGTTACTGAATTAACGAGGATTTTTTCTGCATTTTTAAATGTTAGGTTTGTTGGAGGGCATCCTCTTGATTCATTGTTTTCAAGCCATTCTCAGCCTCACTTAAAATGTCCATGCCACTCACAGATTTGTGTAACCTAGATCAGTCACCGAATGCTTGCTGACGGAGTTTCTGAGTTTCTAATGTGTTCTTCTCAATTTTCACAGAAAATGATGTATGGACGTGGTTCGAGTTTTTCATTTGTGTTTCACGGTGAGAAAGTTGCAAAATCCCTTCTGAACAAACAAGCTAGAGATCACTCTCGCCCTGCACAGTAAATTTCGGCACAGACTGCAAGCTTGTCAGGAAGTGTCAGCTGGTGTCACACTGCTGTACTTGTTTTGTTTTTGTTCAGTGATGCCAGTTCAGAAACGTTTTGATGCCCCCTCATATTATCACAGTATTTCACTAGAATGCTTACTTCTGCATATCACTCAAACATTTCCTTTGAAGTGCAGAAACATAGAATATGTTATCACAGTATTGCACTAGAGTTGTTAATTATAAAAAAAATAACACATTATCTAAAACTGAAATACAGTTATGGCAAGGCATAGAAGCAGTACATGCCAAGTACTAAAAATGCAAGTTGCAGGACAGTAATGCCAGTAAAAATGACTAACCCCCTTTCAGCTTAGGTGCCAACAGTGTATAATGATTGTATGCAAGTCGTGCAAAAGAATTACTTTGGCAAAATCTAGAAAACATATTGCCATGTGACCAAGGTCAGCAAGACCAGACATCTACATTAAATAATGCACAAAGTCTACAATAGCAGTCGAGCACTGAATAGCTAAGTTTATACTAAAAGCAAGTGACATCAGTGACTCTGAACTTGCTTAATACAGGAAAAAATGCATGAACTGCATAGAAAAGAGTAGTGTAAACAAGTGTGACAAATACATCTTGTATAAAGTATCACGAAACTGAAATGCCAGAATGGCTGTTAGAATATTGAATCGATAGTGAATTGCCAAAAAAAAAATTGGTGCACATCTTACATACAGGGCACTTCAAAGGAACTGTATAAATTGTTGTCTTAATGTACTGTGCTACAATTTACGACACTGGTATCCGTAGGTGGTGAAATTTTCCATCACTATTTCAATGAATGGCTTTACCTGAGAAGAAAGTTAAAAAATAGGAATGTCTTCTCCTTATCTGCAGCATTCGCCTAACGTCACAAGTCTGGCTGGTGAAACAGCCGACATACGGCCCCCTCGGTCAAAGCAGACGGTCTTTCCAAACCAAAAATGCTATGCGAGTATTTTATTTGTGAACTGCTGCTGCAGTTTATCAGCTGTTGCAACAATCAGATGTGTGCCATAAGCAAACAAACACCATATGTAGAGAAAAGCATTCAGACTTTTAAACTTTTACTCAATTAAGTTGTTTCTTTGAAAATGTAGCTCTCCAGATACAGTACCACACTCCCTGCGGGCACCGCTGTTGCAAATTGTAGTGCAAAACGTTAAGAAACAGACTTGCATAGTTCCTTTCAAAGGGCTGCCCTGTTGAAGTGATTTCTTAGTCTAGTGTAAATGGTGTGCCGTCCTTCCTTCCCATGGACTTTTTTTCTGCCGCTGCCCGCTCAGCAGAATGACGGAGCCACGACATGCCTGCTTTTTCTATGTCCTTCTTAGTTGCCTTGGCTTCTTCCAAGTTTTGACGGTAGGTGAGGGTGCCTGCATATAAAAAAGTTGTTGTCAAGTTCAGCAAGATATTTTAGACTGGCAGAAAAAATGTGAGCTGCATTATGCAGTCAAGCTAACTGCCATATCAACAACTTCAGGCGAAGTATGCATAAGCAGGAACCAATTTCATTATTCTTGCAAACAAACCAAATGAGAAACACAACCCTTGAAACAAATTTGTTTTGATGTGCCTGCGTCACTCTACAGCAGTAGCAATCAGTTCATTGAATGCTATTTCATTGACAGATCCTTCGACAGCCTCTTCTTCGCGACATAGCCTTGCATGTACTTCTTTGGTGGCCTGGATGTTGTTGGCATGTAATAAAGCGGAGCCTCTTTGCCGACATTCTGTTTCCGCCATCCCCATTACTATCCTAGCCTGCTAAGCCTTTGGAGATTCCAAACAGGCTTACCAAAGGCGGGAGCCGGAGGGGATGTTAAACTCCCAAGCGGAGTGAAGCAAGGGATGACAGTGCGCAACGCGGTCTGTTAGAAAGCCTAGCTTGCCGGAATCAGCAAAATAAAGCCAAAAGTCCAATGCAATCCACCTAGCGAAATAGTAAGTGACTAGCTCAAGATGCTAGTAACTGGTACTACTCTCATGAACAGAAACTAGTTGCAAGCACTACTTCTAAATAAAAACTGGTGCTCAAAGTAGCCAGAACAGCTAGATGATGCAGCGGCATGTGCTTTGTGTAAGCAGTGCCAATGAAATGTGTGTCAATAAAAAGTTGTCAGTGAAACGTGCATCTATGAAATGATACAAAACCCTTCTACAGGTAGCCATCACATTCCCGGGCATTGATTATGTGGAAAAGCCGATCCACGGTACCCGAAGGCTACGTCTCGTGGATCTAGGACCGTTACTGTGTACCATTTTAAAGAAATAAGAACATGTCTTTTTTTCTTCGGTGGTTGGTGGCGGGACAAGTGCAGGTGCCTGTTATAAACTGCTCTGCTGTATAAGAACATCAATGTAACACTGGGAAAAAAAAGTGACTTACACACTGGAAAATATGCTCTAATTATTTCATTGGTTACACTCTTATATCAAGTTATATACCAAATTTTCCAAAAAGGTTTTGCACTATTCTTTTATATTAGACTTCAGTACATACTAAGAATTGCACTTGTGCAGGTTCAGATATCTAACTTACTACACAGGAGCTTGCAGATGTTGAGATCAGAAAACTTGTGTTTTCCCTTGGCGCCACACCAGCTGTACTCGGCTGCGACACTTGAAGATAGTATACTTCTCAAAATTCGGGTGGTCCGTTCTTTAGGTGTATCACCTCCTTGAACTAACATGTGTTGTCTCTGGTAAAAAAGAATCAAAACAGCAATCAGATCAGAAATATGGGCTAACATTAAACTACTAACTCATTTAGAATTTTAAGCATATCACAATCTTAGTGTGGTTTCATAAGCATAGTGGTTCTCAAGCGTTTTATCACCACTGGCACATAAAGCATTCACATTGTAAAACACTGAAAAATTTTCAAAATGTGCCGTAGTTCTAATAGCTATGTTGAGATATCGATTTTGATGGCATAGCAGGAACATCTTCCCTACGGATGCACATAAATCTTAGAAACAAAACCACATGCTTAGAAGTATGGGCACTATGAGATCATTTCCGCCCAATTTTGACTCGCTTACTCGGTACTGTAAGAGTGACCGACATATACACATGATGCAAATTAAAGTTAGGTATATCTAAACTTAAAAAATAAGATTTTATTGACAACACTGAAGTACCTGTTCAGGAATTCAGTCATGAAATGTGATTACTAACACGAAATTGTGTTCATGCATCTAATGAGGTTCTAATATAAGCTATGCCTGTAACTGAACTCTGGCACCTGGTAAGCAAACCTTTATCACCTGAATATTTACAAGGTGGAGTTCCAAAAATACAGTTGCTCATAACAAAAAAAAAAGTTCAATCATGCATAGATGCAAAATACAGAGCTTAGTTTAGAATAACCATCATTTATCATACAAAGTCTTGCTCTCTTGTCGACCTCCAGCTCTTTGTCGAAGTGCACGAAGTCCTGTTCTGTAGAAAAAGGCAAGTCCGGCAGGCCCTCTGGATCAAGTGGGGCATCTTCGGTGTTTCTGAGCAGCAAGCTAAAGTACTCGGAGTGGGTCTGCTGTGTCACCTTGATGGAATTCAGTGCCAACAGGATCCCTTCCATAAACACTGAAATGGACAGAACAGAGCTCCATCGTGCAGCCACAGTAGCATCCTCATTGCAGAACTGTTGACATAACATGAAATAGTAACTCTCCGTGATATACACCAACTCATGTTTACAAACAAACCGGAGCGCCCCTAGCGGACGCCACCGGCGCCGCGCATGCGCGAGGGCGGTGTGGGCAAAAAGCTCGCCGTCGCCCCGTCGCCCATAGACAAACCATTGAAACGCGATGTTATCGGCGTTGGTGTGAGTCCCCCTGCTCTTTTTCGCGTTCGAATTGTTGATTTTACGTCTTCCTGGCGATGTCCGATTACTTGAGCGGCGTCAGCGAAATTACCGAGGCTCGTTACACCGCGAAACTTCGCGCGAATAATGTGACATGTGGCGATTCATTCCGCGTGGACGCCGCAGTATGAACGCTAAAACCATGAGATTTCGCTCGCAATTTTCAGTCGCGACGCCGCTCGGGCTGCAAAAGCGTGAACCGTAGCTGAAATGGTCGACGTCGATACTGAAAATCGCAAGCAGAATCGGACCAAGTCAATTAGGCATAGCAAGTCAGTGATAGTCACTGGTAACAATGATCAACATCTTTTATTTACTGTTTACATCGAGCCTGCTTACCAACCTTCAAACGTAAGTCTTTTGAGGCCTGCATTTACTTCTTATCGCAAGTACCGGGCCAACATATACGGGCCGGCGTCGTCTAAGAGAGCAGACGACAAGCAGAAACGTTTGAGAGAGCAGACGACAGCTCGAACGATCAGGCGGCCGTTTAAACTTGAGGACGCACTGAACGTAGTCCGCAGGTGGTCCGCACAACTTGATGGTTCTCTGGCGTTCATGTTGCAACAAAACAAATAAATCTGATGACCACAAGTATCCGTGAATTCAACCCAAAGTGCTTCCCGCCCAAGCAATCGTTGTCCGAAGGCGTCTGCTTTTTTCTTTTTACGGCACATATCCAGATTCTCGGACGAATCGAGCACCTGAAAACTGACCTTCAAACCTTTCTCGACACTTTTGGTACGGCCCCAGTCACGGCGTTTTGACGAGAAGACAGGTTTTTGTCTGGTTCCTTTCAAAACAACGCAGGAATACACGTCTGTCATGGGGACTTCTGCCCACAGCCCCAGACCGGAAGTGCGACCGACGCGCCACCACCGCGCCGTGACGTCACAGAGATGAGTTGGTGTATAGACCTTTGTCCGGAAGTGCTCTTTTTAGCCTCGACCGCAAGGAGCAAAAGCGAACAATAATCTCGAACCCAGACGCACACGGGGAGGGGGGGCTGCGTCGGCCTGCGCCGCCGGTTCCCGTTGAGGGCTTCTTCGCTGGTGTGCCGACTGCCGTTTCGCCGGCATCGGTCCTGTTTACCGCGGTATGTGAGTATAGTGCCCGTAATGTGAGAGCCGTGTGTCCATACGCCACTTTGCCGTTGTTGGTTTTCATCTAGCCGAGCCAGAAAACATCTCGCGACGAGTTGACCGCGCCGCGAGTGACGAAGAAGCAAACATGGCGACGGTTTGTGCGATTGCTTTGGTGGCTCCGGTGTTGAGTTTCTTCAACGTCCTCGTGAGAAGGTTCCCCTGCCCTTCGAAGTTATTGCAAGCACCACGAAAGATGTGGAATCATCGTCTCAACTACAAATAAGCAGGCCTTCACGAGCAACAACGGTGCCGAGCGGGCGCTCGGCACATTTGTGTCAGGCTCACGCAGCCAGCGGCACAGTTGTGTTGGTTGTGTCGTCAGATGTTCAACAACGCCGAGGTATTTTCATTTATCATTTGGAATGGCTTCAAGAGTGGGAAATTAATCTATTTCGCGGATTGTTAACGCCGAGGCGAGTGCCCTTCGTTGCAGTGCCGTCGTCGCGCAAAGTGCAGAGAAAACCGGGTGGCGATGGCGGCGGTGCTCTTTGATCTTGCGCCGTCGGGTTCATGAAGTCCGGAGTAAACGTACGTACGTGCGTCTGCTGGATCGGTGTTTTGGACTTCCTCAAAACTCTTTCTCACGCGCATTTTCCTTGTGAAGCTTAGTAGCTCATTACACCTCATCGTCGATTGCGCTCATTTGACTACGACGGACGAGCCTGCGTGATGTGAATTTCACTACCTAAGATCCTTGGTGTGCTGTAACGAGGGCTAATAAAATATCACCGCGAACTTCTGAACAAACGAGTCGAAGTTTCGTCTGCTATCATAACTGATCGCCTGTCACAATATCAATCAGTAGCGTTCCTAGACTCCGCCCCCACAGGCACCGTGCTTCGTTGCCCGATAGTAAGTGTCTCCTGGTACCTCGTAGAATTCCAGCTCCCACTTCAAGTAAGTAGCATCCTTTAGAACTGGCAATTAATAGTTTCGAACCCAGACGCTCGCAGTGTGTGTGCGTGCTAACATACTCGGAGCCCTCGTTTACGCCGCTTCGCAGCGGCAGACAAGGCGCCACATTACAAAAGAAAGCTAATCCGAGCTGTCTATGTAACTAGACCCATTCGCTAGTCATTCGATGAAACGTCGTCTCGTTTTCATTCGCTAAAACTGCGTTCGATCAAGTGAACGCCTCGCACTTATTTCGGCTTGGCAGAGCCGCGCTGCCGCAGAAAGGCAAGCAGATCGCGAAAATCGGTCTCAAACGTGCCACGAATGTAATGTCGTATACAAGAAGCCAACAATCAAGCATTTGAAAGCTACAAGAAAGCGGTATCGAAATATTTACTACGCAATGAACCCGGACTGAAACGCGGATGTCAAGGGTCAGCAGACACCGAGAACATCTAAGACAAGAAAGGTTTTCCCTTATTTTCCTTGATCGAGATGGGTTCTCGAATGTTCACGACATCTTGCCTGTTGAAGAACGGGCCGCAGAGGCTTCTGGTGAAGACATCTTTCACGATGTGTCGGTGCATTCGGACAGCCTGCCGCATCCAGCTACCCAAAACAACGCCGCCAACGCAGCCCCCCCTCCCTGCCTGCCAGTTCTTTCCGCGTCGTGGCGCGAGCGTAGATAAACATGGCGGCGCCCCGGAATTGGCGCGGACACTGGTCTATAGCAAAGTTAAAGGAGTATGAAAGCAGTTTCTGAGAGTTCTTTAGTGACAATAACTCAATCTAAGTGCACCAAGCGTTCTGAAAACCCGAAATTACACAATCAGGCGTGGCCCATTTTCCTACTAAAAACGCGATTAAAGATTGTTACACGCCCCCTTCTCCAAGATGAATATTATTGTGAGGCAGCCAACAAGGGGCGCTTGTCAGCCAATTGCTAGCGATGGCTTTTCGTGCAGCCAACGAGTGGCGTGATTTCTGAACGTGTGGATCGGACTTCTTTTCAAAACAAACTATAATAGTACAAACAGTCAAAATCTCCACACATTCAAGTGTTTTCATTGCTCTAGTGTGTATAGTATGCATGTATTTCTGTTGCCTCGAGATACATAGGCAGTTTCATAATTTGGCACTGGATATATTTATTAACTGGCACCTATAAAATAACATCAAGAGCAATCTTATTCAGAAACCACCTTAGTGCCTCTTTAAATAAAAACACTAAGATAAATACTGCTCCTGACATATATTGTATGTTTTAGGAAAGCCATGCCCCTCACGACAACTCAAACTCATTAGAAAAAAACGTTTCTAGACACAATACCTTTTCCGAATCGCCTTTGTCATGCACATAGCATAAGAAGTAGAAGCCCAGAAACCACTATCGCAAAATTTGTTTCTGATTGAAGATCTAAATAGATATTACATACCAGGCACCTGTGCATCTGTGTTTACCCGTCCAGTGCCAGGGTGAGACATGTTCATAGGGGTTACAGGTGCATCTGAAATTTTATAAAATGCTGTTCTTGTTACATCGAGTCGGTTCACAGGAGACCACTGGTCAAATCGGTTTAATCAATTCGGAGCCCGGCGTTCGTCAGCCCGCGCACCCCGAGCCTTGAGCGCTCAGTGCCCACGCTCCTCGAGTGGCCACGAGCTGATAAGCGCCAGTCTGTCAGTCAGTACATAACAGTTCTCAGCTTTGATGTTATTTCGAAGGATATGAAAACTTTAGCATTCACAAAATAAAACTCACCGTGGTGTTGCTGCCACAGTGTTGCCGCCGCTAGAGGGACATCATTGGCAACTGAAATTGACAAGCAATTTTGTACAAAATGCTGAATGCTATAAAAATATTTAAAAAAGGTGAGAAAGAAATGAGTCAAATCTATCGAATGCCACTTAAGCTGCAAGATATACCTGCAGGCCGGATGCTTGAGTGAGGTGTCCTGCTCCTGTATAGAGTGTGCACTGGGGGGACGCTGTGGACACCTGAAACCAAAAAGAGTTTTTTTACAAAATGCCGAATGTTAAAGAAAATCCGAGAACATGCGAGAAAAAAATGTGTCAAATCCATCAAATGCAACTTCCGCTGTAAGATCTACCTGTGGGCTGGATACTTGAATGGGGCAAAATGTTCGCATATGGTGTGTGCACTGGTGGACCCAAGTCATCACCTGAAATTGAAAACAGATTCTCTACAAAATGCTGAATGTTAACAGGAAATTCAAGAACATGTGAGAAAGAAAGGAGTCGAATCCATAAAACATAACTTTAGCTGCAAGATCTACCTGTAGGCTGGATGCTCGGGCGGGACATCATCCTGTTCGTGTGGGATGCGTGTACAAGCGGGACATTGTCGAGACCTGGAATCAAAATTAAATTATCTACAGAACACTCACCTTGTGCACAAGCAGTTACCTATGTACTGTGGCTGCATGCGTGAAGACTGGGCACGTGCTTGGGATGTGGCTTGGGACGTGACAGTTTCGTACAGGGCTGCAGAGGAAATAGTCACACTTACTCAATCCATGTACCTGAACATGCACTGAAGAGACATAAGGTATACACACCAGAGTGATGCAGAGGTGACTTAGAGAAGTTGGCACCTGGAAAAGGAGGAATAGTTGGTAGTAAGCCGTTTGAAGTTACACTAGATGTTTTCAAAGAATTATTTTTTTCAACCGTCCTAGAGCATCGCCAACAATGCACGATGCCATACCTGTTTTCTTCCGTGGCTGGGGTGGCGTGGGTGGTTTTGGTGGTTCATATTCATCGTCGGAACCTGTAGTGTCGGTGCTGTCATCATAGTCAAAAGGAAAGGTCGGACGGCGTTTTCGCTTGCCACGACCCAGCTCTTCTTCACTAGTGAAGTCTGACGTATACTCCAGAGCCTGAAGTTTCTCCAGCGCCTTCTCATATGTGTCTGAAAGAAATTTACGCATTGAGGACTGGAAAGAATTTAGAGCAAAAAAGCACTTACCAGCCCAGTCCTTGATCAGGCATTTGACCTGCATCCAACTGTCTTGTGGTTTGACGCCTTCGATTGTCATTCGACGACGCTTGTTAGGATTTTTTTCCTTAGGCCAAAATGTTGTTTCAGTGTTTTCAACGAGCCATGTTTTGTGAATAATGGCCAAGCTGTGATCTTCTTCAGGAAATGCTACAATAGCAAACTTGTCACCTGAGCGAAGCAGGAAAGGCAAGCATTTGCATGTCCACCGAGTTATTTTTCCCTCTTTAATGCAGCATACTAAAACCGAACTAGCTTGTCCAGTTCATCTACAAACAATATCATAAACTAGATTATTAATAAACAAGCAGCCATAAAAAAATTTCACTGTAGGTGCACCATTGGAATAACGGCAAATTTGTTTGCCAATGGGAGTCTCACACATTTCACTGCAATTTCTGAAAGTGGCCAGAAGTGAATGTCAGACAGTTCAGATGCAAGGAAGATGTTCAGCAATGATGAACTGCAGGGATAGCTGTAAAGGTCTTCTAGACTCTGGTACCTCCTTCCAACCAACACTGGTTGATAGTTCACTGCAGTGCGTGCAATGTTTTCAACCTTGATGATACTCTTGTCTTTTAACATGCAAGTGCAGTCTTTTTTGTTTGTTTTGATGGTGATGCCAGCAGGAAACGTCACGGTCTTGTACTGAGGTCCAATGCATCCGAGCGGCAATGGTCGACCTTCATGCCTTGCTGTCAGCTTGAAACTTTCTCCTCCAAGGAATACAGAGGAGACGGGTGGAGTCGATGCTGCCGACTCTCCAGTGTTGACAGCAGGAGATGCAACCAAAAATCTTTCTTCTACGATTCGATTGTAGACTTGCTGCAAGGGCCTTTCTGGTTTGCGTACATAGCTTTTGAGTTTACGCATGTAATTTTCGAATGGGAAAGCACTATAGTTGTGAAGAGGTCCATGAACTCTTACGTCGCTTGCCACATGAATCAAGCCATGAACATTGTGAGAGACTGCATGTCTACCATATAGTGTTATGTAGGTCTCAACAAAATGCCTTAAGAGCCTTTCTGCATACCCTAATTGCTCTCTACAGAGTAATGGGCTGGAAAGTATGGTGACTGCACAGTGAAGTGTCATGAAGTTGTCCATCAGAGGCTTGGGGATCCTTGACCTCAGCACCGCTGGCCCCGTGTAAAGTACAAGCAAGCGAAATTCTGACGCTTTCCACCTATCAATGTCGGACAAGCTGCGTGGCTTCCGAGACATGTCTGATGGTACATAGTGCCTCATTTCAATGTTAGCTCCCGACACAGAATCTCTTGATGCACTTCCAATGTGGTAGGTTTTATCACCTTTCAGCCAAAGGAGTACAAGCTTGCGCACAACACCCAGACAGATGAGGTGCATATAGTCAAGTGGCACCTGGTCAACAATATCTATGGGAAGTTCTTTTAAGATAGTTTCCATGATGTGGTGGTCCTCTTGCTCTGCACGCCTAAAGCTAGCATTTGTTCGTAATGGAGCATCAAGATCAGGGAAGCACATTCGTCCCCGCACAAATTCTCCTTCAGTCGTGCACTTTGAGCAACTGAAGTAGCCGCTGTGCCCTTTGGTGCCAAGAATGTATGACTTGGCAGGTGCGTCGCAGATTATTGCTCCAACTTGCACTCGGAAGACCCTGTTGCCAATAGCAACACCTTCAGAGAGAACACCTTTCAGGTCAGACACAAACGGACTAAGGAAGACATTTGACTGAAGAGCCTTACACTGGCCATGATAGACACCAACTGGAAATGGGTCACTGCCTGCACAGTTAGCAGCTTGGCAGAGAATGGGCCAGAACTGATCCCGCGTGCTTTTCGTCAATGGTAGTCCATCTACATTCACATGAAGGATTATTGGATCCGGTATATTGTGCACAGGTTGCAGCGCTGCCCTGAGCCCCTCACTCAAGCCTAAATGGCAGTAATGGCCGGAATCCATGGGCCTCACATTATCAGTGACTCTTGGTGTAGACAAAAGTGCCCTGGCACATGCTAGGAGGTCCGAGAAACAAGAATGCGAGTGCAGTATCTTCAGGAGCTTTGTAACGGTATCATGAGGAGCAGCCCCCTCTACGCTCCACCGCCGCAGCTTTTCCTTGAAACGTGAAACGTCGGATTCCTCTGATTCAGACAATTCATCCAACTCGACATTCCTTCGATTGTCTCTTTCTAACCCAAGCGAAAATCAGTCCACTTCCAGCTGGATTATGGAACTGGAAACGAGGCGGTTCAGCTGGATTCCAGCTGGAATCCAGCTGGAATCCAGCTGGACCGCCTCATTTCCAGTTCCATAATCCAGCTGGAAGTGGACTGATTTTCGCCTGGGAAATGGTGTTCACGACTGTAAGGCAAGCCTTCCGAATCTACAGGGACGCCTCGTCTCGAGTGAATGGCGCTTGCACCGAAGACCGGTTCCGGAGTATCAGGCACAGTCTCAGAAAAACAGCACATTGTCAGGGCATCTTGCTGATACGAGAGACGTGATGGTTCTGCAATTAGTTCCGGCGATCCCGCGTGTTTTTGCGGCGTTCCTGCAACTAGTTCCGGCGACCCAGCGGGCCTTTCTACAGAAGCCTCATCCAAAGCTTCAGCTGAGCACATTGCGTTTTCTCTACTAACTGACAGTATAAGTTTGAGATCGCTTTCCGCCGCACGACGAACGCGCCGATAAGCTGTTGTTCTGGGTAGAGCAGCCATAGTGTCCATATCTACGATCTTCGAGTGGTTCGCCTTGTCTTGCAACAGCCAAGCTCTGCGAACGATGGAAATGTTGTAACACTTTCATTACTCGGCCTAAAGTCATGTCACTTAATACGGAGTATTAGCAAAGCGTTACTGTTGGCTATTGCGAGCGCGGTAGCCCTCTGGCCGCGCGCTGCTTCAAAGGGGGAGCGCGAGCCTCAATACCGCTGTGGCGGATCAGGGGACCGGTTTGGTAAAAATCCCGACTGTCGCTCCAAACAAAACGTTAAATCATACTTACTTCCTCCAGCCATGGTGGCTAGTGAGTTCTCAGGTTAGCGCAGTAGCACGGTAGCACGGCAGCACTCCGGACTCCGGGCTGTAGTCGGCTGTAGGGCTGCAGCTTTCCCGCGCGCACGCTATTAATGATGATGATGATTGCACAGCGGTGGCGATTGAAAGCTCTGCCTGAATTGCTTAATTTCTCTAATGTAATTATCTATGTTTTATTAAAAAAAATAATTTGTAAAAATATATAAATATATGGTATAAAAAATTATTAATGTGAAATTAAAAATAGAAACTAACCGAGTTTTAGGACCGTTTCGGTTTCGCCATAGTTCCGCTTTCGAATGTATTTAAAGCGGTTCATTTTTTAACATAATTTTTGTTCTTGTGTGCCTGAGAATTTAAAAGAGCTGCCTTTAGGCTTTTTACTATCGCTCTTGCTCTTGCTGTGTCTGCGAAGCAACGCGAGTGATTCTGTTGGCGACAAGACTCAAGAAATACGATAGGTCGCTTTTTCTGTTTTTTGGCTCCCTCCGTTCGCCGTGGTTGCACGCCGGCACATTTATTGCGGAGAAAGGGAGGTGCAATTTGTAGGGGCGCGTACGCCGACTGTACGGCAAGCGCGGATGATCAAAACCCAAAATAACTTGAAACTGATTTTTCTAACGGCTGAACCAAAAGCGACGATTGCAATACGAGCCACGATCTTGTGCGGTGACAGTGCGTGAAACCGCTGCTGTAATCGTCAAAAAAAAAAAAAAAAAAAAATGCGTGTCCTGATCACAGTCGCGCTGGGACGTGTTCCGGATTATGCCGGCCCGGACATCCGTGGGACGTCCGCAGGACGTCAGCAATGGGACGTGGGACGTTCGCACGTTTTTAGGACGTCCGAGGGACGTTTGGTGTTGTCTGGGTCTTGAACATACACTGTGCCGCCAAAACTTAGCTCGGCGCATAATAATAAAAATAATATTAATAATAATAATTATACGAATACACACCAGCAGCATCACAACGCCGCAGGCCCTAAGAAAAAAATAATGATTTTTGAGCTGACAGTGCTGTGGGAGTTACGCACTCGCCGGACCAATCAGCCGCTTCCCTTTCATCACTTGACCCCGCTCCCTGCGCGTGTGTATGGACTGAAGCGTAATCACGTGGCTAAAAAAAAAAAACCCCGACGGTCGCGCACCAGTCACCTAGCTGTGTTTGGAGATTTGTGTTTGTCCTTTGTCCCTCTTGTTCCCCTTCTCCAGGGATTATTTTCATCATTACTGTCCAGCTCGCTTGCACCTTTGCATTTAATTGCATTATAATCATAGACAGGACTAGTCCGATGACCACTTACCTTCCACCGTACTGTCAGCTTAGGAATAAAAAAAACAACGTGAATTCTTTACTGAATAGCCCGCAAGCGATCCACGAATCCGAGTCAAACGCTAGCAACGGCACCTTTCGGTGCTCATTTCCTGCCAGTCTGACTTATCCCTGACGTTCAAGTTTGAGGGGTTATAAACCTCTTAGCATGCGAGAAGGACGCAAAGAAAAAAAAAATTAGAAGAAATTTGTTTGGGGATTGAAGGAAAGGAGAGAAATCTTCTGTCATGAGGAATTTATTTTTGCGCGTAGGGCTTTAACCTGTCACCAAAGAAGTTACATGGACGAAGAACTCCTTACTTTGCTTAGATCTCATTTCGATGGCAGGCTGCTCGTTCAAAAACCCATCAAATGCTATCGCACGTCTCGCAGAACTCAATCCTACCCCACCCTCAACTGTATCAATCTGACGTCTGCAGTTGTGCATCACTAGCGCGTAATCAACATTTAGGATGGTCGAGACGCAAAAGTCGGCACGTGACTTTCCTTAGCATAATGGTGGAAATGTTGGAGGGAAAGGAATCTAGCTGCATAGATCCGCGTATATCAGTCCGTCTCCAAATGGTGTCCCCGAAAAAGATTTCTAGCTCGCCACTGGAGGGATAACCCAGCTCGTATTAGGAGATTATTGTTACTGCGTTATTTAAATAAAAACTCTGGGCAAATCTGCAAATCGTTTCGTAAAATAAAATGAAAAAAAAAAAAAAAAAAGATATAGCAAGGGAAAAACGGGTGTTTATACACTTGTCTAGGAGTGTAAAAACAAGCGTTGCTAATATATATATTTGTTTATTTTAGTTGATTTTTTATGACACTTCCTTGTTCTTGTCTTAGGTGGTTGCGACAAACACCCCCAAAGTATCGATTCAAGCTGTCGAGCGCGATTATAGGAAAAGGCAGTTGCCAAGAGATTTCTGAGAATTCAAATACTCCCGGGCGAGAGCGTCTGTTCCTTCCATTGCCCAGAAGATGGCGCCACCAATAAAACGAATAAAACCTCTACGAAAATAAACTACCTGCGCTGGTAGCGCCATCTAAACTCGAGCTCTTCAAGTAAACGGGTAAAAGGTGATACGCGAGGTCGTCTCTAGAGCGTACAGTTTATCTTTTTATCTGTTCTCTATAAAATGTGAATTCTAAGTTTGAAGAAAGAGATAATATCCTTAGCTTCATCCATATCGGATAAAGACTTTATAATTGCGTTCGAAATTGTTGGAAGAGTGAATACTCGTCGGACCCAACCAGTGTCACCGTGCTCATAAGGGGGCACAACTTGAAGTGGGTGTGAAGTTTCGACGATTGCGGCTTCGTGCCTTAAACTAATGAGTAAGGAAAATAACGAGCCGGATTGACGCCCGGCTCTCCACACTCGCAATGTGGTAGGAATTTTTGAAGGGGTACAGGTCGTCCCAGGGGCGTCCCGCCTACTTTCGCGGGGTGCCCGGGTGTCTGCGATCTGCCCGTACCCCAGCATTCTCAATCTAAAGGTAATACGAATAGAAGGCAGGTATGGGAGTGGAGGGTGTTGACGCGAAAGTTGACCTTGATGCGTTATTGATGTATCTGCGCTGCAGTTGAGAACTTGACGTTATAGAACAAGCTCTGTCAATCTGAAACCGTTTTATTATCTCGTTTTTTTTTTTTTTTTTTTTTGCCTAAAATTTATTTAAAAATTTGCCACGCTTTTTTTTTTTTCCTGCAGTGCAGAACAAATATTATTGGTGCGAGAAAGTGTGCAGAGGTTAATTCTGCGTCGAAAGGACGCATATTGGAAGCAACTTCAAAAATCCCAAGCCCGTTGCTTTCTGGGCTACGAACGGACATTGGGGTACCAAAGTATGCAACTATAAACTACTACCCCCCACCTTACACGGTCCCTTTTTCTTGTGTGTGTCTATGGCACCCGGGCACCCGATACCATCGTACCAGATTGGGGAATTGTAGTAGACCGTTTCCGCAGCCCGCTAAGCACCCGGATAGCGCTCCGTAATCCGCCGCAAGACCCTGAACTATGCAGACAAGGCTGGCGGCGCGCATAGGCGTTTTCTTCGGGGATACCGTAGCGGGGGAGAAAAACGGTCTACTACAAGGTGACGGAACAGCTAAAGTGCTTTCGTAAGCAATCTTGGACAGTGCGTTTTAGTGCCTGAATTTAACGACATGTGGCGTGCCTACCTTACTCTCAAGATTAAATCGCGGATTCCCGCGTCGATCGGAATGTTATCCTTCTGTCCCACGCCTCACCTCGCCATTCCACGCCCTCTTCACTTCGATCTTTCCTGCCGTCGGCGCGTTTGCCGTTTGCATGGCGCGGCATTTGGGAGACACACTCGGCGCTAAAAAAACAACAAACAAAACGAAAGCTCCCAGTCATTGCGGTTAACAGGCGCCAACATAGTGCGAAAAAAAAAAAAAAAAAAAAAAACGACGAAAGTAGATAAAACAAACACTTTAAAACATTGCATTAGTCAACGCAGCCTTGAATGAAATCGTCAGAAAACCAGTCATCCTCACCATTAGGCCTATTGTAATATCCGTCCATCATCAGTTTAAGCCAAGCTGATTTCTCTGCATCCTATCTGCATGCTCTAGAGCAAAAAAGAAAATGAAAGTCACGGCAACATCAGGTGGATAAATAGATCAGGATACGGCAGACTCGCAAAAGCTAAGGCTTTTTTTTTTTTCATAGACACTGTTACAGTGGAAGAAACACATTTTTTTGTTTCTTCCACCGTGGACACAACGGATGCATATACTAATTCCAACGTCATATTTTTTTATCCTTCTTGTGTTCTATCGTTTCTAAGTCCTTCATTTCCCCCATTTCACCTCATACGCCGTTGTATGGCATTAAATAAGTTTAGGGTGCTCCACAAGCATTTCTGTGTCAACATCAAGCACAATATGACTCATTACTCAACCGAAAGGAAGTTACCTCACGTGTGTTGCATCCGTAAAGTGAAGCATAATACAAAACAACGCAAATAAACATAAAAAAAAAAGCGAAAATTCAAATTGTAAAACGCGGAACACCGGACGCTGAGGGAATAGGCCTTTCCAGAAAATCTCAGGAGACCTCGCGGCAAGGGGAATTACGGGCTGTAGTAATTTCGGGCCAACTCGAACGCTTCGTGTATTCTGGAGGCGTCCCGATTAATTATCTCTCATTAAAAGCTCAGAATAAAACTTAAAAAAAAAGCTAGCACAAAATAAGATTATTACCTACTCCGTCTTGCTTTCCTTCAGCCTTCTCTGCGTCCAAGTCATATCCCTGGGGTTAGATTTTGATTCCTAGTGACAGTCTGGCAGTATTTTGGTGATAACTTCTCATATGCCTATTCTCGCAGCCTCTAATCAGCTTCTCTTGAGTGCTCCTACATCCACCGGTGGATGGAAGCTTGTGTATGGGAGCAAACCCTTACAAAAAAATTTATATCTGGCCAGATCTGAAGATTTCAGATTTGGCCATATAAAAAATTGGCCACATATAACCTGATATGGTATATCTGCCAGATATAGCCTCATAATACCCCTGGCCAGCTATGGAAATCCCAGATCTGGCTAAGTAAGGAAATTCCAGATCTGGCCAAGCATATCTAAGGACACAAGCCTGAAATCAACATTTTATATCTTTTTATTGTATACAATTCTCCCAAGTGCCCCGATCCTTCCCTAGTAATCGCTAGGTTTTGAGCAATTCCATGGTTATACAGTTTCGAGTGTAACTTGTAGTCACCCTGAACAAGCGTCCCATAGGGCTCAAGGACCTGTCGTATCACTTTTAAACTTTCTTGTAAATGGCAGCGTTTATGATACTGTGCATTCTGTTCAACCTTCAGCCAGGCTGGGCCGCCGAAATCTCTTACATTATTATCATTCTCGTGATTGTTGTTTTAGCAGGAATTACTTAAAAGCCGAGAAATCACAACCAAAATCGAGATTTAGCTCGGATTCAGCGGAGCTTTTTATAGCATTTTTAGCGTTTCTAAGTTAAAATCAGCGTCTTTGAAGCTGTACGAGAATGATAATAATGTAAGAGATATGTCTGCAGCTAATCCAGGTTAAAGGTTGGATAGAATGCACAGTATTCTATCGCACATTGGCGGGACATTTTAAAAGTGGTGTGGCAGGTATTTGGGTTCTGTACAGCACGTATTCAAGGTGACTCCGAATTACACTCAAATCTGTGTAATCATAGAATTGGTCGAACATTTCGATCGCTAGGCAGCTGAAGAAACACCATCCCCATGATTCCTTGAGTACGGGCCGAGGCGCTTGGGGGATTCAGCAAATTGTCTACTCGGGCGTAATGTTAACGCTTCGAAATAATTAAGCTACATTGAAATCCTCGTGAAAATTAGCACAAATAATCTCAAACTTAAGCTTGCCAAAGCTGAAGTCTGGGATTATTTGTGCTAATATTTACCTCGCGAACAATGAGTCAATCACAGTTTGCTAACAAAGAAATTTTTTAAACTTTTTTAGCTTTTTAATATATTGAAAACCGGCCGCCAGATAAAGCTGTATATACGCCAGATAAAGCTGTATATACGCCAGATAAGACTGTATATACGCCAGATAAGGCTGTATATACTCCAGTTAAGGCTGTATATAGACAGTATATAATCACATAATGTTTGATATGGCCAGGTATGCCCCAGATATAAATTTCCATACGGGAAGCACAACCAGGTGCCAAAGTTTCAGCCCGATCCGATACCTTATTCAAAAGTTACAAGATATTTTCTGAAAAGTTCAATGGGAAAATGGCGGCCGACGGAGTTTTCGAATACATGGGGCTCTACGGCACCAGAAACCGAAAACGGGCAAAAATGGGCTCCATTTTTCTATTGAAATTTTCAGAAAATGACTTATAACTTTTAAATTTTAGTTATCGGAAAGTTATCGGATCGGGTTGAAACTTTAGCATCTGGTTGTGACCTCTAGCGCTACCTTCGGGCGGAGAATGAGCGTTCGGCGATGCCTAGTTTATTTATGAAAAAACAAAAAAAAAATGTGTATTTTTTTGTGACACCCTGTTGTTTGCTATTTGTATTGATTGTCGTTACTAGTAAAATAAGTATTGGGGGTCTTTAGGTCCCGACTTTAGGTCCCGACCTTAGGTCCCTGGGCTCCAAAGTTGGGATTGTAAATGCGATAGCATGATCGTCGAAGGGAGAGAGTGCTGGAAAGATGGTTAGGAAGCAACATACATACTTGTAAACCCTGAGACGAAAAAAAAAAAAGCGAAAAGAACAGCACAAAATTAAGATGGTAGTGCCCATTTTTTTAATCCTTTTTTGTTTTAGGGTTTACAAGTAGAGCGAAAGTATTTTTTTCGGCAGGCCCCTGGGGAAATTCTGCTCTTTAACACAAAACAAATGCGCCTGCGCGTGAAAATGATAAGTGGATGAATTGAGACGACAGAACAAGACTCTGAAAGCCACCCATGTGGAGTCGAAACCTTGAGCACGACGCTCAACCATTGAGCCAACTTTTTTTTTTTCTTCTTCCTTATTGGACACAGTGAGCAGCAAACAAGTGTCGTGCCAATATACACACAAGCCGCCCAAACAACTCGTGGGTGATATTTTTGAGCGATTCAAACAAGTGTGCCCAGTCAGGCGCACTATCGGGGCACTATCCGGGTTCTCCACAAGCTAAACAGACAAGGACCACGAGTAAGCCGTAGGTGACCACCGCTTTCCTTTCCTCAACTGGAAGGAAACGGACATCTTCCGACTTTCAACACACGTATATTTATTTTCCGCAGGCAGCGGACCTCCAAATTTGCGGCCAGGAAGGGGAAAGGGGGGAGAGGGGGACAGGAAGTCGAAACAAGCTTTGTGACCAAAAAAGACGCTTTCTCCCTTTCCAATAAGGAGAGAGATATGGCGACGATACGTTCTGAGCTGCCTGTTTTTATTTATGTTTATGAAATTCGGCGGCTTTTTTTTGGTGTTTATTTTTTATCACAAATTTCGGTGTCTGTCAAAGTTTGTTTTTGATAAAACCCAAAAATTTCGAAATTCGGAGTTTTACTTTTTTCTAAAGTAAGTGGAAGAATAAACAGAGAACGGACAAAACGCAGACACATACTGTATTCCCGGTTGCCGAAAGTTTTAGACAAAGAGGAAGAATATCCGTACAAAAAAACACCAAAAAGGCTTAACGCCATTATAATCAGCCGTAGACTCCAACTCAAGAACACTTCAACAAGCCTTACGTCTTGTAATGAACACGAGCATACTTAACAAGCTTTGCGTCGCTGATCACGGCATGCTCTTTTCAGTTAATGACCCTTAGCATGGAAAATGCTCTTTCGACGTTAGCGCTAGAAACGGGCAACGCTAGAAGTCCCGGTGCGCAGCGCGGGAGAACTGGCCATTGCACAGCATGAAGTCTCCAGAACGACATGGCATCAACGATGTTAACAATTACACAGTTCTGATAGTTCAGAAAA